CCAGAAGAAGAGAAGGATGTGTGCATAATTAGTGCTGTGGGAACAGTTAGCATTTACAACTAAAGACATTTGCTGCGGGAGACGGAGCACTTGTGGGTATGCTTGGTGTGTTATGATGTTGATTCTTAAATCATTAATCAGTCTACTTTTTTTTCGTTCTGCCAACCCATTTAGCCCTCTCTGCGACACTGTACAATATGTAAGGGACATAACAATACAACGTCCAGTGGAGGACAACAAAGATAACGACACAATTAACAACATTCCAGATCAGTGTTTCCCATTTGGGGGGTCCAAGTGACAACATTTTGGGGGTCCCAGTGACAACATTCACAATCTTTGAGGGGAGAGGGGTCCTCAGTGGCAAAGTGGCCAAGCCATTGCCAATGCTCCGAAGGTTATTGGTTCATTTCACCGCTGCATTGTTCGGTTTATAGGTGCAATTTTTACAGAGATCACTTGGGGTCATCACTAGAGCTATGGTGTTTGTGCATTGTGTGATACTCTTGGTAGGCGGCTAGCCATTCTGCAGAGAGGAACAGCCATAGTGGATGATAAAACCCAGCGCAATGAAGCTGATTCACAGATTTTCTGAATTTTAACCTGTAATATTTACTTACAAGAAAACCCTTAACTTAAGAATGCAGTCGATTACTTTTGTGATTCTAATATTTATTTAAAAAGTTGAGAAAAAAATTAAAGGTCCCTTTTCCACGCCTTTAGACATACTGGGAATTTAGGGCTAGACCTATATATTTACAGACCAATCGGCACTTAGTGGGTGATGTGATCAGCATCACACCGGCCGCTTTGACTTCCCAGGACTGCGTTTGGTACCCACTCAAGGCTGGGTCGACCTCGGAGTCAAGGTCATTTTTGAAGAGGATGAAAAGTCTGGCTCTGTCAGGACACGAACCCACAACCTTCTGATCCGCAGGCTGGTGTCCAGCCGCCAACGCCACAACAACTCCGAAATATTTATAAATTATAATAAATTATTCGGTACTATGGCTAAAAAAAAATGGCAGGCTGTGGCTGACGTTAGAAAATAATAGGGGTTGCTAGATCTTAGCTAACTGGTACAATTGGAATTTAAACTATTGCTTGCTGCTGAAGATGGGAATGGAGCGCTTATGGGCCTGTCCTGAGTTCTGTGATGTTGATTTTTGATTCAACATTTAACTAACTGGCAAACAAGAGTGCTAGATGGTTCTGGCAATTATACAAGAGACACCCTGACTGTTACCAGAAAACATGAGACACTATGGTTGGCAATTATATCAGGTATGGCAAGAGACAACATGAAAGTTACCAGAAAACATGAGACACTATGGTTGGCAATTATATCAGGTATGGCAAGAGACAACATGAAAGTTACCAGAAAACATGAGACACTATGGTTGGCATAAAAAACATGTGAGGTACTGGGGCTGGTGTTCATGTGTTGTAAAATTATTTGTTAACATTTCCATTATGTGTCCAGTTAGCTAAATATTCAATTCTTAGGTTTTTAGCTAAACATTCAGGGCTTCAGTTTTTAGCTAAAGTATTAAATTCTGTTTTTAGCTAAAGTATTAAATTCTGTTTTTAGCGAAAATTTTATTCTTCTGTTTCCAGCTAAGTATTTTTTTTCTTCTTCTTCCTTTCCCCCTCTTCTTCTTCTGCGTTTGCCCTTAACAGGACAACTGATATGTTGTATTGTGGTTTACAGCTAGGTTGCAATATATCTGCACCTTTTAGATTAACACATCCAGTTTCAGTGAATGCCTAATTAGTCATCTTTTATGAATGTTTGCAGTAGGGAAGAGGGTGGATTCACACCCTCCCCCTACAACAGGGAAGCTGAGTATTCATTTTGTGTGTTATGGGTGTTTTTTTAAAACAGAAAACAGATTTACTTTTACAATGTCAACTCCAGCTGCACAACAATGCCCAATGTGCCTGTGGTATAAAAAGGATTGGTAGACTAGTTTCCTATTACTGGCTGTCAAAGTCGTCCCCTTGTGGGATGTAATTTTTTGTTACTTTGAAGCCCCACCCACCCTGGCTTTTGCCGGGGAACCCTGACAATAGCCGGGCCATAAATAAGGCCTAGTCACAGATACGGCCTAAACAGCTGAAAGAGGTTTCTTGGATCTCTCCACAGGTGATCCTTATCTGCATGGTGGCACTTTGTGTCACCGGGTGTTTATCGTTTGTGTGATGGGGTACAACTAACTACCTACCTAGTTTCCTATTTTTGCTTTTACTTTCTTTTACACTTCTAAAGGTGCCAATTAATCCAAATGTGTTAACATATCATGTTTATTGACTTTTTGTCACCGAAGCATGTGGTGTAGTGCTTGCTAATACTTACCCTAGTCTCTGACTGCTGTGAGATTGAGTTTAAAAAATAAAACATACATCTGAATTAAACACCCACACAAAATCACAAATTTTCTTGTCCTTTCATCACTTCTAACTTGTATGTTCAAAAATGCAGACAAAAGCGCCCTCATTTTCTTGTTAACGTGTCTGCATGTTTAGAAACATACTCACATTTTAATTTTTCAGCCATACCTCTTTTTTCTTTGTCTGCAAAGCTACACAAGTATGTGGAATGATTCCCTCATCACATACAACAAATGATGTAAGATGGAAGCACCATTGTCTTTCATATCCAAGCAGCACAACCAATGCAAGCTAATGGCTTTTAGACCAGCTCCAGTTGGGTTGAATTTTAGCAAGTTAATTCATCGATCGACCATCCTCACCACACATCAGACAAGACCATTAGTGCTTGGATCCAGTCATCATGACCTCCCTCAGCATGTGGTGACTGATAACATCAGACTGAATTTTAGTTAGTTAACTGACCAATAATATTCACCACACATCAGACAAGACCATAAGGGCTTGAATAAATCTTCAGTATCTCCCTCCGTGTGTGACGACTGATATCACCTGGTTGAATTTTAGTTAGTAAACGATCAGCTTCATCAGACAGGTCCATAACTGCTCCAATCTTATCTTAAGTATCTCCCTCAGCGTTTGACAACTGATAACACAGAGCTTAATTTTGCTACAAGTTAAGGTAACCAGTCTCATATCAATACCCTTATAGGTTTATTATGCTCAGCCCCCCACCCCCCTTTTCCCCCTCCCCTCAGTCAGGGTAACATGAAACAATGGGAACAGGTGGTAGACTGACAATAGTTGCTGGTCATGGTCTCAAGCTCCCTGACAGCGGCAGGCAGAGGATCACACTGTAGTGACAATGGCTACGGTGACCTGACCAGCCAAGATGGAAAGCAAGGACAAACTATCTTCTTCAAGATGCCAACAAAAAGTCATGATTTCAAAGTTTACAACCTGGATGGTCTAGCCACATGGATGGTGTAGCCACATGGATAGTGTAGCCACATAGATAGTGTAGCCACATGGATAGTGTAGCCATATGGATAGTGTAGCCATATGGATGGTGTAGCCATATGGATAGTGTAGCCATAATGGATGGTGTAGCCACATGGATGGTGTAGCCACATGGATGGTGTAGCCATATGGATGGTGTAGCCATATGGATGGGCTGAGACAAGAACACTGTTCTTTTTCTTCTTCATGTTCACCAGCTGTAAACTCTGGCGGAAAGTTTTGGTTGTTTGTCCTGTAGTCCTGTTACAGAACTTGAATGTTGCGTGTGCATTCCTTTGAAATATCTGACTCATCTGTATGCAAACTACTGGTTCCTTGCCTCTCAGGCAGATGCACTCCAACTTTGAAGGAAACTCCCAATTAGACGACTCTTACGACATGCTTTTGGGTAGGCAGTGGGTCTATTCTTGTTTTCCCTACAACAGGGCCCCGGAACCCACAGGGGGAAACACTGATCTCATCCCAGATTCTGGTGGTCATGAGAGATGACAAAACATGACAGCCTAAGCTTATCAACAAGGCACAAGATGTGGATGATAATGATGATGATAAAGGTCATAAGTGGGAATCTGTTGAGTGTTAACCTAATCTAACAACCAAGGAAACAATTCACCCACACCAATGAAACATTAAAACCACAACTTTGTCCACAAACTGATCTTAACTCATCATAATATACATGTGTTTTCATTCAAATGATAATATACTGAAGACAGGGGTTAAAAGAAAGTTAAATGCAGCAAAAACAAATCCTCTTATACTGTTATTTTATAGAGGAAAATGCACAGGATATAAGGATTTCATAAAACAGCACCCTTGTTAATAACAAAGAGAAACACTGAATTACCAGTGTTAAAGACAGCTGGCTTCAATGTAGGGTGACCCTACGTTCCATTTTCATGGGGACCATATCAGAATTAAAGTAGGCCCAAACCGCCTCGCCCATACTCAACTTCGACTGCAACAATGGAATTTGTTGAGTATCGACGGCACGGTCTGCGCTTACCTTAAAAAAAACCATCCTGGCGATATGCTCCCCCAACCTCAATAGCATGGGTATTGTTAGTAGTCAGGCTTTTGCTTTCACAATGCACTACATAAATAATCAGCATTATTGTCACTTAGGTATCTGCTGGGAAAGACTAAGCATAAATATATCTGCCTCAAGTGCAATTTTGCAATTTCTGCCTTTAAGTACCCCCCCCCCCCCCCCCCCCCCCCCCCCCCCCCCCCCCCCCCCCCCCCCCCCACCCCCCCCACCCCCCCCCCCCCCCCAATCATATGTTCACAGGTTCCTAACCAGAATACCAATAAACACAAGATGTGCCAGTTTTAAATCTCTTTTTCCTACCCTTGGGCCTTTGATGCTAAACCTCAGGGACTGAAAAAGTAAATATGTTCTGAGGCTGGTTAGCATTAGGGATCTAAAATAAACTTCTATCCGAACTGTCCCAGAGATCTGGCACAACTCAACTTTGATCTTTAACCTGGCACAACAGTAAAACATAATTCCTTCCATGATTAGATTGACAAAATGTTATCACTATTTTTCTGACTTTTAAAAATCAAAACTAGACCATCCATCTTACCTTATGTAAATGAAAGATGCACAGGTTATCTCTGAAAGGTGAGACGGATATCTTGTGTATCATGTTCAGTGGAATTCTGTACTTGAGGGCGAAGGATTTGGGGTCAAGGACAAGAAGTGCTTGTGTGCTGAGCACTAACAGTTTGCTGACCATCTGTGGAAAGTGAGTTTGTAGGAGGTACATGTAGGAGGTACAGTGCTGAATAAGTTTGTATGTGGGTCATTGCTGAGTGAGTCTGAATGAGGTTCATTACTGATTGAGCTTGTATGAGGTTCAGAGCTGAGTGGGTGTGTATGAGGTTCAGTGCTGAGTTTGCATGAGGTTCAGTGCTGAATGAGTGTGTACAAGGTTCAGTGCTGAGACAGGAACTGTTATTGCTATCACAGTCTACACCATCATCAATCTATGCCGCTGCCAGGCAGCACAGGTTCTCACGTCTTTCCACAGACCTTGGTCTAACCAATTCCACTGACATTCCCTCATGCCAATGCTTCAGGCCATCAGGCATCATTTCTCTTAGGCTTCCTCTGCTACTGTTGATCTTTCTAGTCATCAATTTTTGTCCAGTGTCTCTCTTCTCATCCCACGACCCAAGAAAACTGAATGCCTCCTTCTTATAGTTGTAATTAGTTTTCTAATTTCCGTAGCCATTACCAGGCACTAGTGATTAGTCACTGAGGATGTCCACAGTATTAGCACGCATCTCACAAACCACATCACAGACTGCAGAATTTTCATTTTCCTCTCATTTCTCTTCTACCTCTGAGAGAGAAAAAAGATCAGAACTTCTCATAATCTGGCTTGTCATAAATTCTATTTACCTCACTAAGAACTTGTCACAATCTGGCTTGTCATAAATTCCATTTACTTCACTAAGAACTTGTCACAATCTGGCTTGTCATAAATTCTATTTACCTCACTAAGAACTTGTCACAATCTGGCTTGTCACAGATTTTATTTACCTCACTAAGAACTTGTCACAATCTGGCTTGTCACAGATTATATTTACTTCACTAAGAACTTGTCACAATCTGGATTGTCATAAATTCTATTTACTTCACTAAGAACTTATAATCTGGATTGTCATAAATTCTATTTACCTTACTAAGAACTTGTCATAATTTGGCTTGTCATAAGTTCTAAAAAAAACCTGTCGTAAGTTGCCTTGTTGTAAATTCTACTTACTTCCCACCTAATTTTAACCTTAAAATCAATTCTCTTCACTTGTCACAATTACCTTTTCCTAAACTTTGCTAGCAGCTCTATTTGGTTCTAGCAACGTCTTTTTTTTTTTTTTTTCTTCTTCGTTCTTCTTCATGTTCACTGGCTGTAACCTCCAGTGGAAAGTACTGGTTCTTCTTCTATTTCTGGACTTCGGTCTCGTCCCAGAACTTTGGGTGCACGTCCGTTTTACAGACCTGGCTTTTTTGTATGCAAATTGTTGGTTCCTCGCCACTCAAGCAGAAGCACAGATGTGTTCAGCCACAAAAGATACACTCTTAATTTGTTGACTATTATACTTAACAGAGACAAAGACAAATATAGGGGGAGGGGTGGGGGTCTATTTTTCTCTCTTTCCTAAAATAGTGACCCGGGGACTCAAAAGGGGAAGGTTCCAACACCTATTTATTCTGTCTCATGTAGAAATCAGATCTATTCATTTCTGTCATATAATCACCTACTTAAATTTTAGCTCTATTCACTTATATAATTTTTTTTTATCTCAAACATTAGCACTGAATCTGTGTATTTTTCACACACTTTTCTGCTTCCTCACCTCTTATATCTAATTCGGTCCTACTGTTAAATTTCTCACAACTAATTTTCTCTTCATATCTTTCCGTTATCTCACATCCATTTCTCCACTTTTGTCCTGCCATCTGCTCTAATTGCACCTCACATCAAATTCGCCTCTCACACTTTGCTATCAGCCCTTTAGTCTTAACTCTTTTGAGTCCCAGGGGGTTTAGCATTACAGGCCCAAGGGGTAATCAAGAGAGACGTAAACTCGGTGCATTATGCGTTCATTAGGCCTCTAGGTAGGAATCTATGAACGTATGATGCGTTTCTTGGGACTCAAAGAGTTAACATCAAATGCTCTCCTCATACCTTGCCATCAGTTCTATTCACACTTCGCATCAAATTCTCCTCTCATCCTTGCCATCAGTTCTATTCACACCTCACATCAAATTCTTCTCTCATCCTTGCCATCAGTTCTATTCACACTTCACATCAAATTATCCTCTCATCCTTGCCATCAGTTCTATTCACACCTCACATCAAATTCACCCCACCTACCTTGCCATCAGCTCTGTTCACTTTATTCACGTTGTCTGCAAACACAATATAAGCATCCTGTGTTGACTTGTACAGTTTCTGCCACTTCATGTTGGAGCTCACATCGACATAGTCTCCCTTAAAAGGAACTGGAACACTAATGGCAGATAAAACAATAGAAACAATTTAAATAATGATAAAAAATAATTAAGATAAGATAGCAATGTTATACAGATACAATGGTAATAGATCCAGAGGTCGACCACGCAGAATATGGACTGCAGAAATATCAGAGACACTGAAAAGAATTATATATGAAGCAAATGGAAAGGCTTGTTCCAAAGATATCTTCCTCCTCTGATGCTGTGAGGTATTACAGGAGTAGGGGAAAAAAAAGAAGATAAATGTTTGATCAAAGTATTTATTTGCAACAGAGCTTTACAACACATTAAAATGATAATTACCAAATGTTATGTATTCTCAACATTGCTGTATGGTGTAGAGGCACCTTGACAATGAACAAGCAACTAGAAAATACAACTGAATCTCCAGAGATGGGGATATACAGAAGAATAAATCATATTTTATGGACCCAACAAACAATCAAATACATGGGGTCTCAGAAGACCAGAAATAAAAATAACGTTGCTGACAGAAATAAATAAAGAAACAAGTTAAATATTTTGGCCATATTGAAACACATAATACTTATAAACACCAAGCTGGAGGGAAAAGATGAAGGTAAGCAAGCAAGAGAGAAACAGCGACACAAGTGAGAGGGGGAATAGCAGCAACAGATAAACGAACAGCAGTCTAAGATAGTGTAGTTTTAAAAACAGGCTCTGTAGCACCGGCGAGGATCCAGAAATACTTTGGGTAGAATTTTAACTCCAAATTTTGCCTGGGCAGCGCCGTTTGGCTACTCTTTTCAATTTCTAATTGCCAAGGGATTTTTTACATTAGGCAACAATGCACACGAGCGTCCGATCTGACTACCCAGAGACCAGGGGAATTACTAGAAGTCCATGTCCACATGAAAAAAATCCCAGAGATGTCACTGCCAATGTAATGAGGCATTTGGCAAACATGTCTGAACCATTTCTGTCTTCTTTCTTTGATAACATTTCCAAGCGATGAACAGTTAGCTTTCTGCTTAAATTCTTCATCTGTGATCCTGTTTGGCCAAAATATACACATGATTCTTCTCAGACATTTATTAAGAAGAAAAAAAATGCCATGCCTCATGTGTTTTTTATGCCCGAAATGTCCCCGTGTCTTGTATTCCTACTCTCTAAACTGGATGACCATCCATCCTGCCTGCTCTTTCTGGACATCTAGAACACATAGACGTGGTCAAGGCCCTTTGTGAACAAGCAACAGAATCAGTAGAGAAACAAGATTATTATGGCCTGGAGAGAATGAGGCACCTGGGTCTGGCCAGCTCACTACACTCAGAGGAAAGGCAAGACAGACATATAACCAGATTGTGATCAGTACCATCAGTATTGGAACTCTGCTCTGACTGCTGAAGATGAGGATGGAGCATACATGGGAAGGCCCCAAGTGTTGTGATGTCAATTCCTGACTCAACTTAACTCAACTCTGGACAAAGAAAAACACTTATGTAATATGGCGGATGTAATCAGTCTCCAAGAGATGCTTTTCTTCTTGTATTTCTGGTTCTTCATCCAGCCAGTGGCTTTGAGAAGAGAAGACAGGTCTCTATGAAGACTGTTAGCGTGATGCATGTCTTCTACTGTTGCATACAGTTCAGTTTTCACTGGAATGCCAGTTGCCCAAATGTTGGTGAATGTTGAATTAAGAATTGATATAACAGCACTCTGTGACACCCCTATAAGCGCTCCGTCCCCATCTTCAGCAGCAAGCGAAGAATTAAAATTCCGATGGAGCAGTAACTGTCTGACTGCATATCCGTCTTGCCTTTCCCCTGAGTGTTGAGCGTCAAGCAGATCCACTTATAACTCCTCGCAGTGTCAGTCTCCTCGGACCATAATTATCTGTTTGTTCCTCAGCACTGTTCACTCCCTCCCAAAGGGTCCTCACAATATCCAGCTCATCATACATCAGTTCACCACCAAGTGCTGCTGAACCGGCCAGTCTATCTGCCTGCTCATTTCCCAACACACCAGCATGACCTGGAGAAAACATCCAAAGGATGCTAACTACCCGGGAACTTTGAAGTGCTGCTTGCCACTCTGCACGGAGCATGCTTGTCTCCACCTTTCTCAGCATGCTCTGTGAGTCAGTTACAATGACAGCTCTTCTGAATGTAGAGAGCAAAGACAGGCTTTTTATAAGCTAGTGTTCTATGACATTCAGGTTTGGCAGAATGTCAATGTTTTTTTTTTTCTTTTCTTTTTTTTCTTCTGTGAGATTTTTACAATATAAACAGTAATATACATTATGCAAAACTAATACAGGCTAAACTTAAAACATAAAATACAAAGTTAAGTACATTAGTAACCGTTTATGAAATTTACAATGAACAATTTGTGAAAGATGAACAAAATGTTCATCTACCTGGTAGGGTATGTCTCTTTTTTGCCCTTGAACAAATTACTAGCGATCATCTTCTCTCGTAGCCTGTTCTTTGTGGCTTCATCCAGTCTATTTCGGTACTTTGCACACTGTGAGAAAGTTTAAGGTGTGTATAGTTAAAAAAAATACAACAGTAAAAACTATGGCAAGAATTTGTCTATGAAATTACTTTTAAACATCAAATCATGAAAGTTTAGTCAGCATTATTAAAGAACGGATAGGAAAGTTTAGTCAGGATAATGGAAAAAAAAAAAAACAAGTATGGAAGTTTGGTCAGGATAATTTAAAAAAAAAAACAAGTATGAAAGTTTGGTCAGGATAATGAAAAACAAGTATGAAAGATTAGTCAGGATAATAAAAAAACAAGTATGAGAGTTTGGTCAGGATAATGAAAAACAAGTATGAAAGTTTAGTCAGGATTTAAAAAAAAAACCATATATGAAAGTGTGGTCAGGATAATGAAAAACAAGTATGAAAGTTTGGTCAGGATAATGAAAAACAAGTAGGAAAGTTTGGTGAGGATAATGAAAAACAAGTATGAAAGTTTGGTCAGGATAATGAAAAACAAGTATGAAAGTTTGGTCAGGATAATGAAAAACAAGTATGAAAGCTTAGTCAGGATAACAAAGAAACAAATATGAAAGTTTGGTCAGGATAGTAAAGAACATGTCTGACAACCCTTACTTAACATTTATGGCAGAGAAGGAAATGAAAACACACATGGGAGACAATACAGGATACTAAAAAACAAATACAAAAGAGTCGGTAGGATACTGAACAACATGTATGACAGAGTAATTAGGATACTAAAGAACAAATATAACATACATAGGAAACTAAAGAACAAAAATGACAGACTGAATAGACAAAACACTAAACATTATAACAAGTATGTCAAAGTAGTTAAGAAACAGAAACTAAACTTTTTTTACTACAGTGACCAGGTTTAGCATACACAAAAATAACAATGCTAGCAAATTCTGTGAAAATAATTTAGTTTAGACTGCCTTGAATTGAGAAACATGCAAAAAACTGGCTGTCTTAAAATTTTTGTAAGAGAAAATCATTCATTAGCAGCCATCTCCTCACTAAAGGTTGGCTGCACTGAATCTCCCAACACTTTCTATCTCTCTTGTATTGGTCACACACTCCCTCAGACTGCTGTCCCATCTCTTGATGTTGTTCCCTCATCATTACCTTCCTCTTGCTCTTTTGCCTTTGACTTTTCCCTCCAGTATAGTTTTTTTAAATCAGCCTTATGTCTGACACTTCTGACCGAACTGATATATCTGTTCCTCGGCACTGTTCACTGGCTCCTGTGGAGACATGAGAATTATATCAGTTGTTTCTTATTTATCTCTTTTCATTACTAGGCTGTCCAGAATCTTCCAAGAGAAGATACACAAATATGATTTTTTTTTTACAAAAACACACACACACACATAGCTCACCCTCCAGCGATGAAACATTTTCTTCAACAAATCTGAGGTTTCTCTAAACCTGTTGGGAGGTTTGGGCCAGTCTTCACAGTTGGCTACTGGGGCCATAGATGGCAAATTCTTTCGAAGGTTCAATAAATATTGTCGTTTCTGTAACAAATTAAGAGTTGTTAATATTGGAGATATTTCAGTGGCACATGTCAGACAATAGAAAAAAATCAGCTTTTGAAAGCATAAAGACAATGTTGAAAGCATAAAGACAATGTTGAAAGCATAAAGACTATGTTGAAAGCATAAAGACAATGTTGAAAGCATAAAGACAATGTCGAAAGCATAAAGACAATGTTGAAAGCATAAAGACAATGTCGAAAACATAAAGACTATGTCGAAAGCATAAAGACAATTAGGCAAACATGTTACTAATATAAGAATTTTAATGCAGTTTCATAATTAAGGAAAACAATAGCAACTTTTGAGCTGAAATGCGATAGAAAGATTTTCAGAATACCGGGAATTCAGAAGAAAAGAAATTCTGACAGCCTAAAAGATCCAGTATTCAAGAAAGATTGGCTAGTAAACATTATTTTGATTCAGAAAATGAATATTTTGGCCAAATCAAGCACTATAGTGGATTGGAAAGAATAGTAGCAGAAGATATTGCACAATAAAAGAGGGTCAAAGGCCAATCAGCTTAAATATGAGCATAGAATATAAACAGTAAAAGGTACAGTCGGGGGAAGTGAACCAGCGTCATTGCACACGGTTATAAGCCTTAAGTGCTCTGCTACCAGTACGGACAGCTGATAAGAAACTGCCCGCCTGTGTCGCCGTCCGCACGCAACTCCGTAGGTACAGCGACGTTCCTCCATTTACCCCAGAGTGTTAACTCTGGTACCCATTACCTAGAGGCTGGGTGAACCCCGGGAACTGCCTGGTTTCGAACACCAGTCATGGGCTGCAGCAAGTCGCAGCTGGATTTGAAAGCAAGTCTCCTATCGACTGCGCTAATGAGGCCCCAAGAATGTAAGTAACACTTTGGGTAGGAGGGTACATGAGGTGAGAGATCTGGCGAAAGATTGAGTTTTTTTTTCAGGCAGACCGTGTTGACAGCGGCGTTCCGCTAAGGAACTGCTACATGGTGATGACAGCAGTTTTAGTGAAAGTGTATAACTGTCCACATTAGATGCTGAGATGCTGGGTTTGATCCCAGCTGCGGACAGTTTGTCTTGCATTGGTTTCAACAGTGGTACCGAGAGCTGACTGTTAAGAAGCAATGGCAAACTAATGAACGTAAAATTTGCCTAGAAAAACCACAACAGCCCAAAAATACTGGGGTTGGTTCTGCAACGTCCTGTAGAGGATACACAACTAACTTTCAGTCCCAACATTCACTTAGTCATTCATAATTATGTTTTAATGAGAAGCTGATTGATTCAACTTTTAATTCCTATTTGATTTTTGTATGTTGAAAAACCAGTCATGGAAATGAGATGTCGGAGAAAGGCTGCACAAGTGTCCAGAAGAAAAAAAAATCAGGAATGAGAATGAGAGAAAACGTTTGCACAGAACCAATTCTAAACCACATACAAAGACAGCAAATTAAATGATCTGTCAACTTGAGAGAGAATGCCTTGTGACTCCATATAAGGCATACGCTAAAAGATGAGAAGGATGTACAGCACAAGGTAGACCAAGAACAAGATGGGAAGATAACATCAGAGAAACTCTACAACAGCACAATGTCTATGGTTGGGGTGGCCAGAAAAGCAGTAGTAGTAGATTTCTACCCCACCAGGACATCACACAAGCGATAAACACCCGATGACACAAAGTGCCACTATGTGGATAAAGATCACCGAGGAGGGATCCCAGAAGCCACATTCAGCCATTAGACCATATTTATGGTCAGGCTATATTGCGGCCCCTGGCAAAAGCCAGAGTAGGGTTTCAAATAATGAAATATTGCATCTCACAAGGCGATGACTGGATTTAGCAGAAGAGCTAGAAGCAGGGCCTTATATCTCCCTCAACACCTGAAGCACTCAATGAGGAAGCGAACAAGCAGGAAAACCTGAGAAATATGTGTATCCCTGTCAGTTGCCAAAGCACTTAATAATAATGACATGAACATTATGATGATGATGAAGATGATGATAATATGATTGTTATGCTAATGATGGAGAGGATGATAATAAGATCAATATGGTGATGATGAAAAAGATGATATTATAATCATTATGATTATGAATAGGAAGATGATATGATCATTATAGTAATCAAGAGGGTGATGATAAATGATCATTATTGTGATCAAGAGGATGATGATAATATGATCACTATGATGATGAAGTGGATGATAATATGATCACTATGATGATGGAGAGGATGAAACATTTTCATCATGATGATGGAGAGGATGAAAAATGTTCATCATGATGATGGAGAGGATGATAATATGATCATCATGATGATGGAGAGGATGATAATATGATCATCATGATGATGGAGAGGATGATAATATGATCATCATGATGATGGAGAGGATGAAAAATGTTCATCATGATGATGGAGAGGATGATAAATGTTTCTTTATGATGATGGAGAGGATGATAATGTGATCATTTTGATGATGGAGAGGATGATAATGTGATCATTATGATGATGGAGAGGATGATATTATGATCATTATGATGATGGACAGTATGATAATATGAATTATTATGATGAACGAGAGGATGATAAAATGATTATTATGATGATGAAGTGCCATCATTATGATGATGATAATGTTTATCTCCTCGTACTTACTAAGGCAGTGATCATGAACCGTGAGATCTTGGGACCTGCGATCCTTCGGAATTTGGGGCGATACTGTTGTCTGACCTTCCACCCCCTGTAGTACTTATGGATCACACCGTTTGCCCACAGCACCCTCTTCTCATGCTTCATGGCGGCAAGCAGCTTGCGAGCCTGGCGAGAAAACAAACATCACAATTACATTTTACCGTGTCAAAAGTAAACATTATAATTATATTATCACATAAAACATGCGTTATAAATATATTTAAGCAAGTAAGACATATCACATTTACATATTTCGTGAGACACATGGCTGTAAAATTGCAGGTACATTTTATTTTGTCAAACATTAAAATTATATTTATCACATCAACACTACATTTACATTTTAATGTGTCAGACATAAACATTACAATTGCATGTAATCTTTTATAATAGGTTCTTTTAAACAGCAGGGAATAGAGAGTAAGAAGCAACACAAAAATGTATAATCTGTTGAAATCTAAATTTGTACTTTTTTCCCCAGTCATTAAATGTCTAAACTGGGAAGGGAAGTAATCGTTGACTAGAAACGGAGCAAAAAAGTAACTGATTTCCTTCCCTTTGACTATTTAAAAGTGGTTTTGGTCACTTTGCCACAGAGAGCAATTTGATTAAATAATAAAATTATTTGACATCACAGTGGATCCAGAATTTTTTTTTTTAATCTGTATTTTTATTTATCCAAAATAATTTTTTTTTAATTAAAAAAAACCATTAAACATAATAATTACACACCATGTCTACAGACTATGCAGCTGCAGCCACTATTAAAGCAGTCACACACGCTCACTGTCTAAGGACATAAGTCAACTAAAACCTGTGGAATCTGGAGAAACAGCTTTCTCGAGTAAAAGCGTTCAAGATGAAAACTTCATTATGCTATGTTATTTAATCCTATGCGGATCAGTCTCTGTCAATATTTATTACAACTCCTTAGTTAGAAAAATGCATATTCCAGTGCTTGTATTGAATATTTTGATGCTACTGATAAAGTTAAATATTAGTTGATGTATGAATGAAATGATGTATGAAAGGAGGGAGAAAAGAAGGGCAGAATGGTAGATAGCCTGCATGCTCAATTCTTAACCCTCTGATAATAAAGTTTGTTTGTTCATTCTGCTGAGAAATCTGGCCACAGAAAGTGTGAATTCTTCTATACTTTCAGCTGTATGCTGATGGACTTGTTACTGAGCAGATCAAACCACCTGTGGTCACGTACCATAGGAAATGTCCTGGGAGAAAAAAGATGGCCAGTGCGAATGCTGATATCATTGTAACTAGTCTGTACAAAATATGGGTGTAGTACCATATGCCCAATGGCACTAATACGAAAGAATCCTTCCCCTTTTATTTTTTATTTATTTATTTATTTATTTTTTGTAAATTTTATTTTATTACAAAATATTATTTAAGCAAGTCAGAGTGTCAGAACTTGGAAAGATTCTCAGAATACTATGGACAAACAACAGAAGAAAAACTGATATTTTGAAAGATCTGAACACCAAGGAAGAGTGGCTAAATAAAATATCAGTTTTAAATATATGACTTCAAAGCTGAACGGTTACTTTAGGTCCTTCTTTTTTTTTTCAGTGAGATTTAAATACCTGCTGAGTACAAAAAGAAAACTTTAAATATCTGTTAATTACCCAAAGAAAAAAGTTTCAAATATATGTTACGTGAGAAAAAAAGGGTTTAAATAATACTGTGTGCAACAATGGGATTTAAATATATGTTAAATACATGAATGGTTTAAATTTTACTGAACAAAAATAGGATTTAGACAAATGCTAATATCAAAACTGTTTAACAACAAAAATGAGATGTAAACACCTAACAGAATCAAACTAACTGCAAATATTATTTGTAAAAAATACAATGTAACTGTCTCTAACTGGTCTTAAGTAGCACATTTTACAGAACATGCAGACTAAGAAGTGTCTAGGATTTCTCATCTCCTTGTGCCTCTCACTGAAAGCTTTGGCCGAACTTTGTTACTGTTCCTGTGTGCTGTTTTTTTTTTTTTCCCAATAAGGCACAAATATCACAGCTTAGCTGTAAACAACAAATCAAAGTGCCAACAGCCCTTCTAAGGGTAAAGGAAGAAGAGGAAGGTGTTTTTTTTTTTTTTTCTAATATTTTAGTTCTCCTCCACTTTTCAATTAAACTAAAAAGTATTCCAATCAAACATTTGTCATGAATGTGCAAAACAAAAAATGCAGAAGTTCCCAAGCCTGGAGGAGGGTACAGCATTGGTCATTGTATTTCACATTCAGTCATCTTCTGTCTAAGTTTTTTTTAACGTATTTTACGCATCCCAACAAATTAGAACAGCTTAAATAAATACTGTCTCTCTCTCACTCACTTCTCTCTCTCTCTCTCTCTCTCTCTCTCTCTCTCCTCTCTCTCTCTCTCTCTCTCTCTCTCTCTCTCTCTCTCTCTCTCTCTCTCTCTCTCTCTCTCTCTCTCTCTCTCTCTCTCTCTCCCTCTCTCTCTCTCCCCTCTCTCTGTGTGTGAGGCTACAATGAGGCTATCTTTCATTATTGATTATTTGTTTTTATTAATTTGTTGTGGTTGAAAGCATGGATGGTTAGTCTTAAGTCTAGGAGAAGTTGTATACATTTATGCCCGGCGCAGCGACCGGGTGACGAACTCCTTGTGGTCCGGGTTCACTCGCGCGGGTAGGCAGAAAAACCACATTTTCTCCCAGATTTACGGTACCTATCATGGAATAAAGGCTGAAGGGTTATGATATTCATAGTACTGAGCCAAAGGGTTAACAACTCATGGTTTCTGGATATTTTTTAAAAAAAAGGAATACACATATATATATATATATATATAAAGTATATGTATACAGTAGATTAATATAGTCACTGTCTGACTGTTTAGTGGGTGTACTCCAACACCAGTGTATAAGAACTGCAGTCACTGTTAGTTCCAGGTGGTGCATACAGAAATAATCCAATACATGATACACAATGTTTACCTAAAACTAAAACAAAAACAACAGAAACATAAGACATATGTGTATTCAAAAAAAAACAATCATCATCATCATTAAGTGACTTGCTGACTGGCATGGACGATTATACCTCTCCACAACCTGCGATCTCCTACAGTATCTATCAGTTCATGTGCTGACACTCCTACATGCCACAATAGATGACCGTAAAGATTCTACCAGGATTGTTTTCCTCTATCTATTGCTTCACAAATCTTTCCACTGGTCATAACATGTTCCAGTTTTTGTCTTTTGATAACATGCACCCTCCACCCCCCCCCCCTCCCCCCCCCCTCCCCCCCCCCCCCCCAAAAAAAAAACGTACAAATATACAGATATGTTGCTACTATATGGACATATTTAAAATAATTACAGTAAAACACACTACATGTGTGTACCCGAACTAAATATATGGCATAACACAAGTGTATACAGTAAAAATTGTATCATTATAAAATATGTAATTGATAGTATACGAGACAGAAGGTTGTCGAATGACATGACTGCCAATGTCATACTGCATGTGCTATTAAAAAAGATTTAAAATATGTGAATGGAAAAAAAAACAAGGAAACAAAAATACATACATATCTAAAATAAACATAAATCAATAAATGTGCATATGCATGTAAGCACTCATATGCACATATCCATATAACTATTTGAATTAACAATACAAACATCTATCAAACTGAACTCAAAATTCTAAATCAAATATCACATCAACTAGAAAACAAAAAATAAAATGATTTACCCCCCACACACACACACACACTCAAAAACACGAAATAATAAACAATTTCAACAGACCAAGGACTATGCTAGGTAACACATCAATTACAAACTAAAATATGCAGTCAGGCACGTAATACATTTTTAAAAAAAAATCTAATTGTGAAAACAGCATGCGGTAAAAAAAAAATACCCATTGATCTACTGACAGACACTTTTGCTTACATCCAGGATATATAAATGGATCCAGACAAGGATACAGATAGAGATATAGAAGTGGATGCAAGCTGAAGGTGCAATATGAATAAAGGCAGACATACCAAAATGGATACAGGCATGGATTCAGGAAGGGATACTGGCAGCGATATAATGAATGCAGGTAGAGATACAGGCAGTTACATAAATGAATATCCAAGGATGCAGACAGAGATGCACAAACGGATTCAGGTAGAGATACAGAAGTGGATACAGGTGGAGACACATATATGGATACAAATGGAGACAGAAACAGATGCAGGTGGAGAGATAAATATAGACATATGGAAGCTACTCATGGACAGTAAGTAAAAAAGTAAACATTTGTTTTTAACAACAGATCAAAATACCACATGATGACGACTACATTCTTCATGAGAAGGAGAAAACTGGTGTACATCATGACGGTGTGAAAAACTGGAGGAGATAAGAGGCAGAGGGGAAAAGAGGTAGAGGGAGACAGAGAGGATGCTGGACTGTTTGACAACATGGATTTGAAGATAATCTGTGTCAGAACTGATGGAAAGTACTCAAGACAAGAAGGTTGTGGGTAGACATTACTACCAATGCCACATGGCATGGACTGTAAGAAGAACAAGAAAATCCAGAAATTGCTATATGAAAGGTTATACAAAGGGACTAGGACGGTACTGTGTCAGCCATTCAAGGACTAAGTTAAGCTATCTTTGTCTGACAGGGAAAGAGAAACACAGACAGGAATTGCAGTTAGTGTCTGCCAATAGATCATGAGGAAAATGCATGCCAGGGACTGATACTCATGCAATAGCCTGTTTTATTTTTAGCAGCCGTGATTCCGGCGGATAAATGTGCCAAAGGGTGCAGACCTTCCAGCCCAGGTAGGTCTTCCTGATGGTTGTGGCGCAGTCGTTGAGGTGTTTCTTGTGCTTGAGTTGTGCCAGAAGACATCGAGCCTAAACCGCAGGTGATGGTTGAAAAAATATTGCACTAGTTAACAAGGTAAGAGCATAGGGACTGAAACAAAACATGAGCAAGCTAGACAACCACAGAAACTCTCCCCAAATGTGTGTATTCTGTGTAATAATTATCTTGTAACTCCCCACAGTGTGTGTGTGTGTGTGTGTGTGTGTGGGGGGGGGGGGGGGTAATTCCCCCACCCCCCCCCCCCCAAAAAAAGCATGTTGTAAAAGTTGACTAATTATGTTTCAATCAAAGTCAGAGTGTTTCTGCCTGAGAGGTTAGGGGACCAACAGTCTGCACACAAATGAGCCAGATCTGTACAATGGATGTGCACACAGGTCGCAAGTTCTGAAACAATACTAAAATCTAGACATGGACAAACAGCCAGAACACTCCCTGTTGGAGTTCCAACATGGTGCTGGAGTTCAACATGGTGCAGGAGTTCCAACATGGTGCACATAAAGAAAAAGAATCTTTCTGACTGCTGTGTGTACACATCTTAACATTATCCTCCCACTTGCCCCACAGTCTTTCTTTTGCTCGCCTGCCTTCAACCTGTTCCCTCTTTCCATTGTTAGTATCTCCTTCTTTTTCTCTCTTATTTTCTCTACTTGAGGAATGCCTCACGCTGTCAGGTAGGAATGGATCTCTAGAACAGGCCCTTCTGTTCACTTCTTAAAAAGTACTTTTCAATGTTTCTTGATATTTCTGCAGTCCATATTCTGTGTGGTTGATCTCTGGCTCTGTTATTGCTGTATATGCATAACACTGCTCTCTCTTTGTGGTGCCCTGTCTCCTGCCAATCTTATTACATGGCTAAACCATTTGATTTGTTGTCTACCTATAAAGTTCAGTATTGGTTCTGTGCCAATTCTCCTCTTGATACCATCATTCCTAAGTCGATCTTTCCTAGTCTCTCCAAAACCTCTTTATTTGAGTGTGTTTGATCCTAAAAAGTTAGGTCTCTTTTACACATCCAAACCTCCATGACCTTAATTCAGTTTTCAAATTGTTATTCACTCTGTGGATCTCTATGCCATACAGCAGTGTTTTAAAAAAAAAAAAAACTGACAATCTTTGTGTTTTTTTGGTCAACCTTATTGAGAAGTAAAATATCTCAAGTTCTTACAAACTGAATGCAGACATAATTAAAAAGCACTTAAATAAATCTATATAACACCTAAGTTTCAAAATACTTCTTTCTGAAACAGCATAGAATGCTTAGAAGTAAATAACATTTGAATACTGCAGAAAATACAACATGTAAATCAGAGCAAGAAAACAATATGAAGCAATAATGTTAATCAAATGATATACAAATAAGCATCACAGAACCATTCACTTGTTCTTCACTATGAAAAATACAGACACTACTTAAGAAGAAAAAGAAATCAACAGATGAACGAGCTATAAATGCCAGTCATGGACAACCCTAGAAAAACACAAAATTACAACACGTGAGATGAGTTTATGAGAAATGCAGTGGGAAAAAAAACAAGTACAGAGAATCACCAATGAAGAACCAGGAACAATGGTAGGTAAGGTACCAGTGAATGATTTGACAGAACATGAAAGAGTCCATTGGTTCGGTCATCTGGTCAGAAAGGAACAAAATCAGCCAGCAACTTGAGCGTACTACCTGAGAACAGCAGGCTACAAGGCAAGAGGCCCACCAAGAAATGAATGGATGGATGGAGTAAAAGATGCACTACAGAAACGCAATACGAGATTAACACAAGCTAGGCAACTAGCATAAGCAGTAGGACAAAAGATGGGAAAGTAGATCTAAATTCTCTCTGTGATGCATGACAGCATAAGCAGTAGGACAAAAGATGGGAAAGTAGATCTAAATTCTCTCTGTGATGCATGACAGCATAAGCAGTAGGACAAAAGATGGGAAAGTAGATCTAAATTCTCTCTGTGATGCATGACAGCATAAGCAGTAGAACAAAAGATGGGAAAGTAGATCTAAATTCTCTCTGTGATGCATGACAGCATAAGCAGTAGGACAAAGATGGGAAAGTAGATCTAAATTCTCTCTGTGATGCATGACAGCATAAGCAGTAGGACAAAAGATGGGAAAGTAGATCTAAATTCTCTCTGTGATGCATGACAGCATAAGCAGTAGGACAAAAGATGGGAAAGTAGATCTAAATTCTCTCTGTGATGCATGACAGCATAAGCAGTAGGACAAAAGATGGGAAAGTAGATCTAAATTCTCTCTGTGATGCATGACAGCATAAGCAGTAGGACAAAAGATGGGAAAGTAGATCTAAATTCTCTCTGTGATGCATGACAGCATAAGCAGTAGGACAAAAGATGGGAAAGTAGATCTAAATTCTCTCTGTGATGCATGACAGCATAAGCAGTAGGACAAAAGATGGGAAAGTAGATCTAAATTCTCTCTGTGATGCATGACAGCATAAGCAGTAGAACAAAAGATGGGAAAGTAGATCTAAATTCTCTCTGTGATGCATGACAGCATAAGCAGTAGAACAAAAGATGGGAAAATAGATATAAATTCTCTCTGTGATGCATGACAGCATAAGCAGTAGGACACAAGAATAAGAACTATGGGATACCAGGGTGTGAAGTTAAATTACTTTTCATATATTAGATTGTGTTGCTATGATACAGGGTATCCAGTTTCAGCGTTGACAAGTGTCATTGCCAGGAAAACCTACTTTATGCTTAGAATAGGATCAATCCAGACTTCTAAGATACAGGAACAACAAACCTTTCCTTCTAATTTTATCAGCGCTGATCAATACATGATCTTTAATGCTATTTCAATTATCCCATGTTTCTCACAATGGCCATTTTCGTATATAACATACAAACAACAGAGATTGGATGTCTTAAAAGAGCTGCCCAAGTAACAGAAAGAGACATTTTGAATAAAGAAAAGAAATAGGAGTGAAATCAATCATACAGGTCATTAAAGAATAACAGATGAGATGGTTTAGCCATCTGACAAGACTGTCCTGGTACAAACTGCCACAGAGAGCCCCGCTGAAGAAATATAATTGACACACCGCCAGAGGACGACCACGCAAACCACGGAATGATGGCATCAAGAACTGCCTTAAAGAAGTGAAATTAATTGATGCCAATGCAGCATAAATCACTGCATCTTGCCACTACACTTTAATGAAGCAATTGGTGGAAGAGAAGAACTTATTACATACAGAACAAGGAAATCAAGAAACAGTCTGTCTCTTATATAAATGTTTGCAAGTGTCACTAGGGTAGCCAGATACTGACAGCACAGGTTGGCCAAACACAAAGAGAAAGCCAAGTTTAAAGCAATGTTTGAGACATACAGAAAATAGTCAATCAACATATCATGCAAATATGGGGTGTTAAAAAATAAAAAAAAATAAGTAAAGGATAAAAATCAGCGGTGAATGATTCTGTGATACCATGTGCAACAACAAAACTGTTAGATTGCCTAGCTTCAGGAAATGTTAGTCACACACAGAAAAAAAAATTCTTAGACATGAGCAAATCAAATAAACCAAAAAACGTCTTAACACACACAGTGCTCTCTTTTAGCTGGAGAGTGGTACAGCCAGATTTTTTGTTTAACTGTAACTGACTCACAGAGCATGCCTTGGAAAACAGAAACTACTGTCTTGCACTCAGACTGGCTTTCATCGCTTAGTAAACTTATCACGTATTATTTGCCAATGATATTCGGGTGTGCAGGGGAATTAGCAGAGTGATAGATCAGCTGCTGTGAACTAATTTATAATATACACCAGATGTGGTGTAGGCTCTCTGGGATGAAGTGAACACTGCAACAGAGCATACAGTGCATCCATATATGGGAGTCAGCAGCAGTCTAGATGATTTTCTACTCATTAGTTTAAAAAGAAAGAAAAAAGGTGAATGTTTAATCAGGTTACAACTGGCATCATTGGTATCAAAACTCTTCTTTGGCTACTTAAGAAAAGGGGGGGGGGGGGGGGGGGGGTGGAGGGAGAAGCATGTATGAGGAAATGTCCAGAGTACAGTGATGCCTAATCCGGATTCATCCTTTCATTCAACAACACAACACCCGAAAATAAGTTGTTAACTACAGACATGCCCGAGCACTACTGTCAGTGAAAAATAATCCTGAGAACACTGGATAATAGCAGAGTAAAACCTCATTAACATAAACTCATTCAAGATGAACACTTATGAAAAATTTTGAAAATTTAGTTCCCTGCAGTTGTTTATTACTCAAAATACATTTATTTTTCCCCGGTCACCACACTTTTTTTTTTTCAACACAAGACTTTTTGTGAGTCTCTGAATTTATACTAAAGAGGTTTTAACAGTGTAAAGAATATCCTTGTATTAAAACTTATATGACAATAAAACAACCTAGGAAGACAAGTACAATAGATAAAACTTGGCGAACATAAGTGATTCCTCACATAATTAAATCTCAAAATACTTGGGTCATATTTGATAAAAGTTGATTGCATATTCTTTACAGGGAGTTGCAGAGTCAACACCAGTATTTTTTGGCTGTTTGGTCTTACTAGTCAATTTTATATTCAGTAGTTTGCCATTGCATCTTGAATGGTCAGTTCTCAATACCATTATCGAAATCAATGCAAAGCAGTTTGCCGCCAAACTGCCTACACCTTAAACTGAACTTGTCACCTCACACTTATAAAGCATGCTCACAAAGCCCAAGCCACAGATACTGACCCAGAGGATAACACTTGGTCAAAAATTAATGGATAACACTTGGTCAAAAATTAGTGAATAACACCTGGTCAAAAATAAATAGATCTTCTCACAATTAAAATTTTTTTAAACCTCAGAAATAGGCTATATTTTGTTGGTTTGGTTTATAAGGAAGGGTTCATTTCCACTACACGCAGATATCTGCTTCAGTCTCCCCTAACAGATCCCACCAAGGGAACTCTGCAAGAGCACAAGTCCTATAGTAACTGTAAGCATCTACATGTGTCCATACAAGAATCCCAAATACAATGCACATTTGAGGGTTATTCCAAAATCAACCACCAACTTGCTGGTTAAAAAAAATAATTTGTCATAGGGGCACTGTTCAATGCTTGCATCATTCAGTAGCCTTTTAGGTCACCCACACCAACCTACTGTCACATTTGACATTTGTCTGGTGGTTCATGAATCCTGAACAAATAAATACAGACATTGATACTGCCTTTACAACCAGCTGTCAAAGTCGTGGTGTGATTCGTTTTCTTCAAGCAGAAGGTCAAAATGCTCCACTCCACAGCTGACAGGAAAGGCAATAACTGGGTCAGTGTTTCTTCGTTTGCGATTCATGAACACTGAACAAATGTGACTGTAGGGTGGTGTGTAGTGAGTTAAACGGCTTCTGAATGATGCAAGTAATGATCAATGTCGCTATGGCCAACTCATTTTTTTTTTTTTTTTTTTTTTTTAAACCAGTAAATCGGAAGGTGATTTTAGCATATCCGTCATATATTTTAACTAGTGGCGCGGTGATTTATGTCACAGGCGTGAGGGGAAGTTAAGTCCAACATGACGTGTATAAGGAGATACTCCGTACGTCACTCGGGCGCCAGTCCTTTACTATCCTGGTTGTACGGAACCTCACGCAAGACCCCTGCAGCACGTCCTCGTCGTGCGCCACGGATAATGTCTCAAATGAGCATTAACAGAGCTGTCAGGGGATCTCGGAGTTCGGCGGCCCCCAGAGGTGATGTGTCCTTGTGGCTCTCATCAGCCCGCCCCCAAACGCTTGGGTGAAAAATGTTATCAAAACTCATTAGGAACATGAGTAGGTTTGCCAAACGTACAGCCAAAATTACAACCCTTGGTTAAAAGACTGCGGAGTAAAAAGAACATTGTTCACTGCACATCCTCTGTTAACACTCAGTGTAGTCGTCACCGCGCTGAGGTACACCACAAGAGCAACCATCCATAGGCTGGCCATCCTTGTACATCCTCGGTTAACCCTCAGTGTCGTCGTCACCGCGCTGAGGTACACCACAATAGCAACCATCCATAGGCTGGCCATTCATGTACATCCTCGGTTAACCCTCAATGTCGTCATCACCGCGCTGAGGTACACCACAACAGCAACCATCCATCGGATGGCTAAGCCTAAATGTCCGACAAAACTAGATCATACGGATCAAAATCCAACCATCAAAATTTGTATTGAACTGAAAAAGACCGAATGTCCACACCCAAAGACCCAACTCGCCCGAGTGTTGGGACAAAACTGATAACGATATGCCTGATGCAGGATGTAAAATTATGTCAGGCTAACGGCTCGTCAAAGAAATCTAACGTGCGAAGAAAAAAGAATACCTATCTGTGTGGTCACAAAAGTCCAAAACCCACGGGCTGCACCCCGCTGACTTCCAGAGGGCGCCGGCCCTGTCGAGCGGGAGGCCTGATACGGTTGTGAGGTTAAGCAGGCATGTGCAGGACGTGATGATCCCTTGGGTGAGCCCAGAACCAGAGCACCATGTGCCGGCTCTGCATGCATGGAAGCCTCCTTGGATGGCGGGGAATGCCCATGATCTGCCCCTGCCTTCCCTTGAGGGCTGACTGTTCCACAGGGGGCTGCCCCAAAGGGGTACTCCGGGGGCAATACCTGCGGCGAAGGAGACAAAGTGGACACCACACAAATCAGGCAACGTCTCGACCCACACAAAACAATGGCCACAGTCAACCTAGAAATAGGCCTGACGGCTTCCTTCGAAGTCGGAGTACAGCTGCCAATGAGGCAGGGAAATGAAAAACGGTTGTACACGCAAAAATCAGGTCCAGGTGAAAGCCAAAAGTCCAAGCGGACGATTAACCGGGACCTTCCACTGGAATTCACAGCCGGTGATCGATAAAAATAAAAATTTAAAAAAAAAAAAAATTTTTTTTTACTGTGAGAGTGCATTTTCTCATCTGAAATGTTTGTCAAGACAGCAGCCTATATAAGACTGCTCTTTTTTCTTTTCAAATTTTGAAAAAAATAATTTTACAAGCCAGGAACAGCTGGCAGTTGGTAAGGTTGTGGATTTTTTTTTTTTTAAAATTTTCAAACATTAAGGGGGGAAAAGAAGAAAAAAAACTAAGTGACCCTAACAATAAAACTGTCCAATACATACATGAAAAATCAAAGTTTAGAAACAACAAAAAATTAAAATTCTCTAAAGCTTAAACAAAAAGGAAAACATGGAATACAGTACATGCATCAATTACAAATGAAACAATCATCAGTGAGATTCAGGCAGAAACTAAATGTTCCAATCACCAACTTTTTCTTCCTAGTTCAGTCTTTGATCTTTCAACAACATCCTTTTATAATTCTGGGCTTGAGTGACTGGATGTTGCAGATAAAAGTTTTCTACAGGACAAAGTAGTCAGTCTCACACCAACACTCATTAGTCATCTATTATGACATGCATGAAAGGTTGACAGTTTACTTTATCAGCATCTATTACAGGCCCAAGTAACAGTTTCCACTATGCTCCAACTGTTGCTTCCTCCCGGTAAGTAAAGGCAGCTGGCATGAGTTGACTGTGATCTACAAAAAATATAGGACAAGCCCTATATGCCTGAAGGCATAGGAAAAGGTCCTTGACTTTTTACTGTTCTGTCTTTCAGTGATGGTTGGATTTTGTTATTTTCTGTTATTCCAGTCTGTTGGATTGTGTTAACTCATTGTAGCTCACATACTTGTTGCACTATCTGCTGATGAAGACTTCAATTGATGTAGATACTTGTATTCAAGTAGGTGACTGCTATTCTGAGCCAAATAACTTTTTTTGGGGCATTTCACTAGACACCTAATTAAAAAGTTCTACATATGCCAGTCTGGAATCACAGAGTAAACAAAGGTAGTTTTCTTTTTCTTTAAACTCATCATATATCAATATCACACAAGCTGACTTCTGTAGTCTCTGGGTCAAACTGAAAACAAAAACAACAAGCCAAATCCAACTACAAAAACGGAAGCAGCAATGCAGCAAGCCAGCCAATCAAAAAATCCAAGCCAAGCAGTTTAAAAAAAAACGCATGCAGGCAAAGTAAAAGGTTTCAGGTAACAATGGACCAAAAACACAGGGTATGAAATGATGAAAGATGTATACGAAAGGGCTGCCGGCACACCTTCCAGCCAAGATAAATTTTGCGTATGTAGGTGGCAGCTTCTTCCCTCCGTTTTGCTAATTTCAGCTCACGTAAAATGACACGAGCCTATGAATGACAAGAATTGCAGTGATTATGAAGTGAAATATGGGTGACGAGTCTCCAACATGTGATATGGTAATCAACGTATAGCTCTAAATCAGTGGTCTCCAAACAGGAGGCATACCCCCCCTCTTCCCTCGAAGGAAATGAGGAAGTTCCAAGGGGGTGGGGGTCAATAAATTTGAAAACAGAGTATGTCTGTAGGTATAACAATGTGTTGTACTAAATTTTTTTCTGTTTAAATATAGATAAAATATGTTTCAAACTATTTCTAAAACAAAAGGCCAAGGCCATTTTTGTTTTTATGAGGTTTGTATACGCACCGTTAAAAATTGAAATAATATGATAATATATGCACGTAGTTATAGATTAAGAGCACATTCATAATTTGTTTTAAATCAAAGTTTGATATGTTTGGGGAGGTCTTGCTTTTTGCTCAATGGTGGTACCACCTGAAAAAGTTTGCCCAAAAAGCACGTGTTTAAGAGTCGACTGAGTGATTCCTTCAAAGTCGGGGTACATCTGCCTCAGCGACAAGGAACCAACAGTCGGCATACAAATAAGTCAGATCTGTCAAACGGATTCTGGAAAAAGACTAAGTCCAGAGGTGGATGAACGACCAGATTTTTGCGCCCGACGTTTACAGCCGGTGAACTTGAAGGCGAAGAAGAAAGAAGAAAAAGGTTTGAAGACCACTGCTCTAGATGCTTCTATGATGTGCAAGACAGAACATGAAATAGGAGTGATTTATCTTAACGTATTTTAGAGCCGCTGACATCCGCAGCAAAGTAACAAAAGTCAAGGACCCTTTCCAATCCAGTGCCTCACCAGCCATATAACACTAGACTCTTATTTCTATACACCAGTCGCATTCGATGGGGGATGAGATCAACGTCAGGCCAGCCACCTTTACTTCCCAGATCTTTTCATGGTACCCAATTTAGACTGTCAATCTGGGAGCTTGAACTCTGAACAGAGTGCAAAGAGCAACAGTAGGAGCTGCAAATTTCAATTGCAATGTTTTTCTTCTGTACCCGACGTGATTTGTGCTGAGAACTGTAGATATTTAACAATAGCAAGAGTCCTGATGCCAGAGAACGGGTGCTGTCTTATGCAATTAATTGCGTGTGCAAACTACTGATCTGTTTCAAGTGCTGCTTCCATTGATGATGAACTGCATTCCTACTGTCGGACTGTTTGCACCGGCACATCTGATAGCTGCCTTATGTATTAAATGGGTGTGTATGCTATTGACTGGATCTGCTGAGACTTGTCTGTGTCAATATTTGTACCATGGACAATGATAGACATTCTGTATGGTTTTCGTTGGCACAAAAATGGAGCAGCTATGGGAGTGACCTTCTTGTGATGATGCTGGAAATGTGATTACCAGATTATCTGGCCACCTCACCCATCAAGTACTGACTAGTCTATAAACACTTGAGTCTGGCACCATTTGCCTGATGCATGAAAAGTTTGCTTTACTTTTGACTTTATAGGTGGATAGATGCCAGATGGAATTTGGGAGATGGGGGATAGATGCCAAATGGATTTTGGGAGATGGTTGGATAGATGCCAGATGGATTTTAGGAGATAGGTGGATAGATACCAAATGTATTTTGGGAGATAGGTGGATAGATACCAGGTGGATTTAGGGAGCTAGGTGGATAGATGCCAGATGGATTTTGGAAGATGGTTGGATAAATGCCAGATGGATTTTGGGAGATAGGTTGACAGATGCCAGATGGATTTTGGGAGATAGGTTGGATAGATGCCAGGTGGATTTTGGGAGATGGGTGAATGGATGCCTGATGGATTTATGGAGATAGGGTGATAGATCCCAGATGTATTTTGGGAGATAGAGGGATAGATGCCAGATGGATTTTGGGAGATAGAGGGATAGATGCCAGATGGATTTTGGGAGATAGAGGGATAGATGCCAGATGGATCTTGTGCAGATGGGTGAGTTAATTCTGAGTGGACGGATGGGGGAAGTATACATATTGATAACAAAAGTGTAAATAATGGGAAAAAAAATGAATTATTTGATTGAAAGAGGCTCCCACTGTAAAAGAAACAACCTCATAAGCAGACAGGAGAAAGTCATTAACTGCACAAGTAACAACACACAACAAAAAGACGGGGGGGGGGGGGGGGGGGGGGGGGGGTGATAAAAACCAGACATATTGAATAGAATGATTAAAAATAATGTTCAAAACAGTCTCAATTTATGGCAGAATGCACTCAAGGTATGGCTGCTACAAAAGAAAGAACCATGCCAGATAGTTTCTAACTTCCTTTCTACACATGCAAGCATTAATAAAATCCTTTGTACATACCCATATATGTGGCCACAACTTAATCTTACACAGTATAATTATGAGATATACAGTATAATTATGAGATATAATCTTTCCCTTTGATAACACGAAGACTTTCAGTGTTGAAGAGCAACACTGCAATAAATTTAATTCCTTCTAGTCATGTGGGTAGTCGGCTCTGTGCCTAAGTTGATGCAAACGCTTCGTAATGCCGGGCTGCCGGGTTCAATCCCAGCTGCGGGCCATGCGCCTTGCATTGGTTTCGACAGTGGTATCAGGGGGCCGACCGTCCAGGAAGCAACTGCAAACTACTGGATGTAAACTTGCACAGAGAAACCTCACAACAGACAGAGGCTGCTGGGGTTGGTTCTGCAACGTCCTGTGAAGGATACGCAACCATGTGGGTTCCAGGGCGCCATTCTGGAGAACGCTTGCCTTAAAAAGGGACAGTCTGCACATTGTGTTGTGGTTTACAGCTTGGCAGCTATATCTGCACCTTTTAGCCCAACATATCCAATTTCAGAAAATCCTTAAATTGTCTTTTACAACATAAAATGTTAACAAGTGTTCTTCTGACATTCATTGCCTGATCTATTTCCTTAGAAACTATAAACCATTTTTTTTTAATATTTTATCTGTAAACTATAAAATGAAGTACCAAGCAGAGAAACAGCACATTATAAAATACTTTTTTTTTTTTAACAGAGAACAGCAATTACAAAAACTGTGCTGACAGAGAACAGCACATTAAAAATATGTCATTGCAAAACAGGGCAATTAAAAATACTATATTTACAGGGGACTGCACATAAAAATTTTTCTTTACAGGGAACAGGACATACAAAAATATTTCGTTACAGGGAACAGGACATACAAAAATATTTCTTTGCAGAGAACATCACACACAAATATTTCTTTACAGAGAACAGCACACACAAATATTTCTTTACAGAGAACAGCACACACAAATATTTCTTTACAGAGAACATCACACACAAATATTTCTTTACAGAGAACAGCACACACAAATATTTCTTTACAGAGAACAGCACACACAAATATTTCTTTACAGAGAACAGCACACACAAATATTTCTTTACAGAGAACAGCACATACACAAATATTTCTTTACACAGAACAGAACACAGAAACAATAATTTGTTACAGAGGACAGCACATTAAAATTTACAGAGAACACATATACAATTATTTCTTCAAGTGGTTAGCCATAGAAAAACTCAAGCTTTTATCTGTTCATATTTTTCATATTTATCTGCAACCTAGGACAACTTCAGCAATATGAAATATTCCTTTCAGCTTGTTAGAAAATGTTTTGTTTTTTGTTTTTTGTTTTGTTTATAGGGAAACAAAAAGAAAAACAGAGCACATGAGTTTCCGAGATACAGTGAGATTTAACTATATTAATAGGGACCAACTGGTCAAGCAAAAAAACTGTGGATACATTGTTGTCATTTTAAAAATAAATTAAATAATTTTTAAAAACCACACCAGGCACATAAAGGTATGAAAACTGAAAGAAGATACACACACAAAAAAATGGATATATAAGGGAGATTGGGGGGGGGGGGGGGGGGGGGGGGGGGGGGGGTACTGTACACATACTGTACCTTCCATCCTCTAGCATAGCACTGTATTATCAGAACAGATTTCTTGGTCTTCAGATAGCATTTTCTTGCCTGTGAAAACAAGTTTAAATGTTTATAATGGTAAGACAGTTATTTTACATAAAGAAACTATTTAAAGAAAAAAAATAAAAATAAGAATCAAGAATACTAAGTTAGTTAGTTGCGTATCCTTTACAGGACATTGCAGAACCAACCCTAACAGCCCCTGGCTGTTGTGTGGTCTCTATAAGGCAATTCACATCCAGTAGTTTGCCATTGCTTTCTGGACGGTCGGCTTTCTTGATACCACTGTCGAAACCAACGCAAGGTGCATTGCCCACAGCTGGGATCGAACCTGGCATCCCGGCATTACGCAGCGAAGCGTTCGCATCGACTTAGCCACAGAGCCGACAAAATACTAAGTAGAAGTTAAAAAAACCAAAAAGCACTTTTTTGCGCTAATGTTGTTGCAAGCTTATGGTTACAGATCCACACACACAAATTTTGGGGTGGGGGATACAGGGTGTCCAAAAAGTTTCCATCCACAACCCCACGCAAAAACGCTATGCCAGCATGGTGGGTAATGAACAGGCAGACAGATTGGCTGGATCTGCACCACTAGGTGGTGAATTGATACATGACAAGGCAGATGTGGTCAAGGCCCTTTGAAACAAAACAAGCAACAAAATCGGTAGAGATGGAAGATTATTATGACCTGGAGAGAATGAGGCACCTGGGTGTAACCAGAGGGTCTGGCCGGCTCACAACACTCAGAGGAAAGGCAAGATGGACATAAAACCAGATTGTGACGGATACTATAAGTATTAAAATTCTGCGCTGGCTGCTGAAGATGAGGACAGAGCATGCATGGGAATGCCATAAGTGCTGTGATGTCAATTCTTGACCCAACTCAACTCAACACACACAAAAATATATCAACACCACCATTACAAGCATAACTCACTCTGTGGTTATATGTGTTCTTTAGCAGTGGAGATCATGCATCGAATTATGTTTTCAAATCAATGATAATCATCTCCAAGTAGACAGACTGACTGGCCGATTCTGCACCACTTGGTAGTGAACTGATGTATGACAAGCTGGATGTTGTGAGGGTCCTTTGGGAGCTAGTGAACAATGCCGAGACACAGACAGATCATTAGGGTCTGAGGAGAATGGCGCCGGGAGGAGTTAAAGGAGATCTGATCGACGCTCGACACTCAGGGGAAAGGCGGGTATACAATCAGACAGTTACTGGTACCATCTGAATTTTAACTCTTCGCTTGCTGCCGAAGATGGAGACAGAGCACTTATGGAGGTGTCCCGAGTACTGTGATGTTGATTCTTAATTCAACATTCACCATTCAACATGCTAATCATGCAGAGCATGTTATATAAATACAACTGGTTTTCCATTACACAAAGATTTCTTTTTTTTTCTTGCGCATGGAAACTTATGGGTCACCCTGTGGTAATCCGTGTACCTGGCAGCTGGTCTAGGAGGTAAGCTCGAACATGCTCCATAATGGAACACTGTCGTCTGGACAGACGCAAGGGTGCTGACAGGCATCCATTTACAGCTAGGTTAACCTAGGCACCCATATAAAAAAATTTCTGTTTTAAATCTTCACCTTTAAAAAAAGATGACAAAACATGACTACAGAAAAAAAAAGCATGGGTGGTACATGCATGCATGCATCCCTGCCTGCCTGCCATCCATCCATACATACTGCCCGCATAAAAGCATGCACCTATACACTCCCCTCCCACCCCAACACATTAATACCAACACACCCATCAAACCCATGCATACATTCTCCTACATACATACATGCATACTGTTTGCATGGATGCATGCAGATATACACACACAAATACACCCAAACATGCATACAAACACACACACTTAAAACAGTCACGCATATATTCTCATACACACATATATATACACACACACACACACACACAGTCAGTCTCTCTCTCTCTCTCTCTCTCTCTCTCTCTCTCTCTCTCTCTCTCTCTCTCTCTCTCTCTCTCTCTCTCTCTCTCTTCTCTCTCTCTCTTTCTCTCTCATACATGCACACACAAGCCCACACAAAAACACACACCCAAACATGCATTCAAACATACACTCATAATACTCATGCATACGTACTCGTACATACAACACACACTCATATATGCACACATACACAAATACCTACATAAACACACACATAAACACACACACACATATTTTTATATATTCACACACACACACACACCCATGCATAAACATGAACCAGCTCTCCAGCCTCCTTCCTTCTATATCTCTGAAAATTATTTTGAGCCTGATAGGAAATAATCGGACACTTACCCAGTATCCTCTAAACCTGGATGAGATGATCACCTGACTGGCTTTCATCCGCTGGTAGAGCTTCTTGTTTTTGTAACCCAACCAGACGGCTCGTATCTTGGTGGCCAGGTAGTGCATTTTCTCCCTGCGACGCTCCTCCATGTCAAATAGCTGAAATATGTAGACATACGGAGAAAGTACATATTTCAGTCTCATTTACTGGGTTTATGGATGCTAAAGATGAGGAATGAGTACACATGGGGAATGCCCCAATACTTCGATGAGGTACAAGGTGGAAGAGAATAAGAAGAAGAATGGGTAAAGTCTATGAGGCACAGATACAGGATTTAGTCTTAAAATAGTCGATGTATTACTGGATAATTTACATTATTGGATATCTTGTTGAAGATCACGATAAAGACAAGGCACAAAATATGAAACCACGTTATTAATAACTTAACAATACCAGATAACTTACAAGACTGGATATCTTAGTGAAGATGTTGACAAACATTTAAGACACACAATACAAGATTACACTTTTAATAACTTAACAATAATGGATAACTTATATTAGTGATATCCCACTGAAGATCATGACAAAGACAAGACACACAATAAATGAGACTACATTACTGGATAACTTACAATACTGGATAACTTACAATACTGGATATGTCATTTGAAGACAATGACAAAGATTTACAATAATACTACATAATTAATAGCTTGGATAAATTGATTTATGTTGAAGATCATGACAAAAGATTTCATAAACACAATGTGAGAATACACTATTAATATATTAACAATACTGAACAACATACATTACTGGATATTTCATTGAAGATCATGACAAAAGATTTCATAAACACAATGTGAGAATACACTATTAACATATTAACAATACTGAACAACATACATTACTGGATATTTCATTGAAGATCATGACAAAAGATTTCATAAACACAATGTGAGAATACACTATTAATATATTAACAGTACTGAACAACATACATTACTGGATATTTCATTGAAGATCATGACAAAGACACAAGACAGAATGAGACTACGTTGGTGGATAACTTATATTGCTGGATACCTCATTGAAGATCATGACAAAGATTTAGCATACACAATATAAGACTACATTACTGGACATCTCCCTGAGGATAACAACAAAGACATAAGACATATTACTGTTTGTTTAAGTCCTTGTGAAAGAAAACAGAACATGACCTTACATTACTGGCTGGTTTAAACAGTGAAATTCAGCTTACCAGTCTGGGATTTCTGATAAAGATTTTGGTCTTTCCAAAGGCAAACTCCTCCTTGGAAATATCCTGTGCCTCCAGAATCTTCTCAACTCCAGCTTTGGGGTCCCCGTCCCAGTGTGGCCAGGTTTCTGCGGCCAGCATTTTGTAGCGGAACAGGAACTGGGGATAGACTTGCCTGAAAGCATAACCAGCTCTTCGGACTCTTACATTCTCCAACAGTCTGCAAAGGGAAAAGAATGATTCAGCAAAGAAAAATAATTCGCAATTTGTTTGTCTACATTAATGTTATTGTGCAGCTGTATTTGTTTGTGAATCATAACTTATTTCTTAACATAGCAAAAACAAAGATAATGCATACAAACAAAACTGCCATGGAGAAGGAAATATATGTTAATGAGGAAAGATTGGAAGTGGTGGACAATTTCGAATATCTTGGGTCACTGGTTACCAACAATGGTGACACAATGAAAGAAATTAAACGGCGACTATCAATTGCTCTTCAAAGACTAAAACTGAATAAATTATGGAATTGTACAGATAGAATTACAAAGGTCAGATTTTTAAGAGCATGCATCTTTCCCATTGCAACATACGCCTGTGAGACCTGGACACTTACTAAACAAGCGGAACAGCGCATAAATGCATTTGAATATAAATGTTACAGACAGGTTCTAAGAATATCTTGGGTAAAGAAAAGAACAAATGTATCCATACTTCAAGAGCTGAATATTGAAGAGGGTTGGCTAGTAAAGACAATAAAACAAAGAAAATTGAAATATTTTGGTCACTTGAAACGTCATGGAAGTCTAGAGAGAACAATAATGGAGGTATATGCCTGGGAAGAGAGGAAGAGGAAGGCCAAGGAGAAGATGGGTGCAGGATGTGGCAGATGATCTCCAGATGGGTGTATCAGACGCAGGACATCTTGCTCAGGATAGGAAGGTTTTCCGGAGGGTTGTTATGGCAGCGAGGTTCCGCGAGGGACATGCTACTGAATGAATGAATTTGTTTGTGTCTTTCGTTTAGAAGAAGTGTTCTTGAAAAATTATTAATGAGCAACAGATTAAACAAACTGGCGACCTGACGAGCATTCCCTAGCACCAACTGTACCAGTGAGTTGGACTGAAGATATCTTCTTCTTACTTCTTCTTCTTCTTCTTCACTCAGAGGAAAGGCAAGACGGACACATAACCAGATTGTGATTGGTACCATCAGTATTGGAACTCTGTGCTGGCTGCTGAAGATGAGGACGGAGCACACATGGGAATGCCCCGAGTGCTGTGATGTCAATTCTTGACTCAACTCAACTCTTCTTCTTCTTCTATTTCTTCTTTTTGGCGTTCACTGGCTGTAAACTCTGGTGGAAAGTTCTGGTTGTTCATCCACTCCTGAACTTTAGTCTTGATCCAGAACTTGAGATTTGTCTGCACACCTGTTTTATATATCTGGGTTATTTGTATGCAGGCTGTTGGTTCCTTGCCTGTCAGGCCCATGCACTCTGACTTTGAAGAAAACACCCCTAATAACCTGCCTTCTGTGACATGCTTGTTGGGGGGAATGGTACAGTGGGTCTGTTCGTTGTACTCCCAAACGGAACCTCAAAACCCACAAAAGCAGAAAATGTTTAATGAACAGAGCAAGGGGAAGACTATGAACAAATGGAATGACAGTATCAAGAAAAACAGTGAAATGAATATATATGTATATATCTCATAACTCCAACACTTTACTGAAGTAACTAGAGCATGCAAGAAGAATTTCTGGAAAAAAATATGGCACGCACGCACGGGTGCACACGCACATACACACACACATGCACGCGCACGCACACACACACACAATAAGTCAAAGCTAACAATGGAAATCAAATGATGGTGGTATTCACATAACTGACTTTACTCACCCAAGATATCTGATCTGGTGCTTCACAATCTCCTTGTCCAGGCTGTTAGGCTTTTTCAAATCATTTGGCTGCAGACAAAACACGCATTATGTACTTTCCCAATTGGCAGTACTTTGTTGGAAAGATGTAATTTTTGTTTTGATCTCATGTATTTGTTAGTTAATTAGTTGCGTATCTTTTACAGGATACAACCCTAACATTTTTTTGGGGGCTGTTGTGGTTTTTCTAGGTAAACTTAAATCCAGTAGTTTGTCACTGCTTTCTGGATGGTTGGCTTCTCAAAACCACTGTCCAAACCAACGCAAGGTGCAAGGCCCGTAGCTGGGATTGAACCTAGCACCCCGGCATTAGGAAGCTTGTTCGCAACGCCTAAGCCACAGACGCCGACTCATGTATTTGACTAGACTATATTTGTTAGTTTCAAACATTGTGATTATATGATTATGTTTCTGACTACAATTTAAATCATTAACTAATAAGTTATCTCACCTATTTGTTTTAAACTAATATCTGGTCAGATCATGCTAAAAATATCTGTCTAATTCCACTATGGCCGTTTATAGTGTAAGGTACAGTACAATTCCTGTTTACATGATTAAGGTGTACTGATTATAAGATTCTGAGTCATATTTTTAAAATGGAAAACAGAATTCACTGAGTTATTTTATCACTATGAACATCACGGCATACTGGGAATTTCCATGCATGCTCAATCCTCCAATGCAGCAGCCACTCCAAGGTACTTCTAATTATCTTTTACATGAGAAGCTGGTTATAATGTCTCCTATTTCAGCCTCGAAGGCGGCATAGACGTGTTTCACCATGCTTTACTTCCATGTCACGCAATCGTGCTAGCGTTAGAGATTGGTCATTATCCGCTAGCCCAGTCGGTACAGCGTTGATGATATCTGCTCTGTCCATGCTTCTTCACTGGGTGATGTGGTCAATGTAACGCCATCTGCCTGACATTACAGTACTCGGAACATTCCCATAAGTGCACTGCCCTCATCTTCAGCTGCCAGCAAATAGTTCTAATTCCAATGGTACCAGTAGCCATTTGATTATATGTCGTGTCTTTCCTTTGAGTGCAGAGAGTCAACCAAATCCCCTGGTGATTCCTAGCTGTACTATTCTCTCCAGACCATAATGATCTAATCGTGCCTCTGCATCTTAACTAACATACCATCCAACTATTGAATGGGTATTTCGTACGTACAACATATGTAAAACATACTCAGTGACAACTTACCTTGATACACCTGATGTAGTTGGGATTCTTGGAGCTTAGGTTCTTCATGAGTTCAGTAACTGAAATCTGAAAGATAATGTTCGAGTTTAGAATTCATGTGAACAAAAATAAAGAGTGAACTAATACGTTTCTAGCTAATGTTAATACGTCTCAATCTGAGAAAGTATTAGTAATGTGTGTTTGTACAAAGCATGTTTTTTAAGTAAGTCCTGGTATTAAATTTTTAAAAATTTTAAAAACATCACTTATAAAAATGATTTATTGAAGCCAAAAGTGAAACACACATTTACATTATTTCTTAACATAATAATAGCCACCACTGACTTCAACACATTTTCGGTATTGTGGCACCGGGTTCCTAATTCCAGTGTCATAGAAGTCTGCCACCAGTTTCTTGAACCATTCATTAACGCCTGTCTGCAGTTTATCATCAGTTTCAAACCACTGAGATGCCAGACACTTCTTTAGGCGCACGAAAATGTGGTAATCACTTGGTGCCAGATCGGGACAGTAGGGCAGGTGGCCAACAATTTCCCAGTGAACGTTTTGCTCCGTCTGTAACCAGAGGTTGAGCATTTTCGTACAAAAGCACAATTCCAGAGGACAGCATCCCACGTTCTTTGTTTTGAAAGGCGTGTCTTAAGTTTTATCAGAGTGTCATAATGTCGCACTCTGATATATATCTACTATAAACTTCACCGTTGTTACCTACTGGCAGTGCATCTGACAGAAAAACAAACAGAACTAAAACTAAAAAACTCACTTTGAACTGTGAACCTGCAGTCGCTGGACGCTTTAATGAACTGTCTGTTGGTCTGCCTAGAAACAAACACGTGAGATATTTTGAAATAAACAACATTTTTTTAAAACAAATCTCATAATTTTGTACCAGTTATTCATATACATTTTTATTAAACTTCACAATACATATAACAGCTGCAGCACAGCAGATTCTGGATGCTTGCTTGCCAGTCTGGAGACCAAGGGTTCACATCTGTACTCACTGGTGCAACCACCCACACACAGTATTTGTTGCCTCTTTGTGGTTTTGCCAGACAATTTTACATTTTGCTGTTTGCCACATTGAGACCCATGATTATTTAGTATAGTAACAAATAGTCTAACATTTAATTATTTTTGTATCCGTACTACATCCATATCCACTATATCCACTTCTAAGTATTTTAACCGGCGCATGGTTCTCTGCCATATAGTCCATGTTGTGGCATTGTCTATCCATAACGTTTTGTCTAGAGTACTTTCAATCAATTCTGCTACAGATGATCCTCCATGACACGATGTCAGACTGTCCAGCATCTTCTCTCTGGGTCTTTCTCTGTCTCTTTTCCCTCCAACTTTCCCACCAAAACAATGTACTTCAGATGTATTCCTCTCATGACACGGCTTCTTCTTCGTCTTCTTCTTCACACTCACTTTTACCTCTTCGGGTGTCAAGGGAGACATAAGGTCCTGCTTCGTGCTCTTCTGCCTGCTTCGACCACAGACACATCGGGGTGCAGTAGGCTTTATCTGATGTTTTCTTCCCATCTTGTTCTTGGTCTACCCCTTGCTCTTCCTCCCTCTCCTCTTTTGGTCTTTGCCGTGTATGGTATATCATTAGGAGGCATTATTCTCTCCATGTCGGCAAACCATTTGATTTGCTGTCTTTCTATGTAATTTAGACTTGGTTCTTTGCGACTTTTTCTCACATGACCTCATTCCTGATTTTATCTCTTCTGGTCACTCCTACAGTCTTTCTCAGACACCTTATTTCCATGGTTACTAATTTTCTTGTATGTTTTGTTATGAGTGACCTGGCACTGGTAGCATAGGGTAGGAATGAATATGCTTTGTATGAGATGTTTCTTTGTGCTGATTGGGATTGCCTTATGCTGTAGTGGGAAAAAGGGGGGGGGGGGGGCTGACCCAATACTTGGCCAGCTTTACTGCATCTGATGTCAATTTTTGTGTCCAATTTATCTTCTTCGGTGAATGTTGTTAGAAGATATTTACACTCAGACGCCTGTCTAATATATGTATGCTCTAATGCATGGCTAAAGGTTGTAGACTGTCTCCTACTGTTGTAGATAATCACATGAGTCAGTTCTTTACAAGACCACTGACTCTTTTTATCTTTACAGGGCTATCTCATCATTCGTCTATAAAACCACATCTCCACCACCACTTCCGCTAACTTCCCACATGGTTACCAAGAAACAAATGAAGTCAAGCATTAAATGTCTTATCCATCTGGACTGCATCCATATCCACTTGTGGATTACCTTCAGGGAAAAGCTCCTGCAGCATAGGGTGTGTACACTGATGCATGGCTTGGGAAAGGTCTCGGAACAAGAGATCGTTGTTTTTGTCCAGGAACCCAGAAACCTGGTACAACACCTGCAAAAACATATAATATATTTATAATCTCAATTCCCATGTGGGTTCCGGGACCCCATTGTGGGGAAAACAAAAATAGACCTGCTACCTCCCCAACAAGCATGCCGTAAGAGTCGACTGAGGGTTTCCTTTGAATTCGGAGTGCATCTGCAACAGCGGCAAGGAACAACCGACTGCACATAAATAAGCCAGTTAAAAGGATGTACACGCAAAATTCAGGCCCTGGCACAAAGCCAAAGTCCAAATGGATAAACAACCAGGACTTTCAGCCAGTGAACAAAGAAGAAGAAGTTTGATTATCTCAAGAGGTTTTAGAGCAGAGGAGACAGAAATCCTCACAATGAGATGAACCCATACACTGAGTCACACAAATTCACAATAAGATACATATACTGCCCATGCACTGAGTCAAACAAATTCACAATAAAATACATATACTGCCCATGCACTGACTCAAACAAATTCACAATATAATACATATACTGCCCATGCACTGAGTCACACAACTTCCCATTAGGATACATATACTGCTATACACTGCAACACACAAATTCACAATTAGATGCATACACTGCCCCACACACTGCCCCACACACTGCCCCATACACTGCCCCACACAAATATGTAAGAAGATACATACACTGCCCCATACACTGCCCCACACACTGCCCCATACACTGCCCCACACAATGCCCCACACACTGCCCCATACACTGCCCCACACAAATACGTAAGAAGATACATACACTGCTCCACACACTGCCCCATTCACTGCCCTATAAATCTGTAAGAAGATACATACACTGCCCCACACACTGCCCCATACAAATATGTAAGAAGATACATACACTGCCCCACATACTGCCCCACACACTGCCCCATACAATCTGTAAGAAGATACATACACTGCCCCACACACTGCCCCACACAAATATGTAAGAAGATACATACACTGCCCCATACACTGCCCCATAAATCTGTAAGAAGATACATACACTGCCCCATACAGTCTGTAAGAAGATACATACACTGCCCCATACACTGCCCCATACAATCTGTAAGAAGATACATACACTGCCCCATACAATCTGTAAGAAGATACATACACTGCCCCATACACTGCCCCATACAATCTGTAAGAAGATACATACACTGCCCCACACAAATATGTAAGAAGATACATACACTGCCCCATACATACATAGCCCCACACACTGCCCCATAAATCTGTAAGAAGATACATATACTGCCCCACACACTGCCCCATACAATCTGTAAGAAGATACATACACTGCCCCACACACTGCCCCACACACTGCCCCATACAATCTGTAAGAAGATATATACACTGCCCCACACACTGCCCCATACAATATGTAAGAAGATACACACACTGCCCCATACAATCTGTAAGAAGATACAAATACTGCCCATTTACTGCCCCATAAAATCTGTAAAAAGATACATACACTGCCCCACACACTCTATAAGAATATACATACACTGCCCACAGACTGTCCCATAAAATCTGCAAGAAGATACATAGACTGCCCCACACAAATATGTAAGAAGATACATACACCGCCCCACACACTGCCCCATAAAATCAGTAAGAAGATACATACACTGCCCCATACACTGCCCCACACACTGCCCCATAAAATATGTAAGAAGATATATACACTGCCCCATACACTGCCCCACACACTGCCCCATAAAATCTGTAAGAAGATACATACACTGCCCCATACACTGCCCCACACACTGCCCCATAAAATCTGTTAGAAGATACATACACTGCCCCACACACTGCCTCATAAATCTGTAAGATACATACACTGCCCCACACACTGCCCCATACACTGCCCCACACACTACCCCATAAAATCTGTAAGAAGATACATACACTGCCTGCGTAATGCTTCAATCTAAAGGCATCATGAGGCAAGGACTTGTCTGACTGGTTCTTCTTGCACTTCCGGCTCTCATAGTGTGGATGTTTAGCACATCTATCATCCAGCTTATCCAGGAACGTTTTATCTGACGTGTTCCCAGGCCGCAAACATTCTTCATCCAACAGAGCCAGAATACCAAGATTTTGCTGGAAAACAAATGTAAAAGTCAATGTAAGGTCAGTCAGTCAGTCAGTAGCATGTCATTTGCAGAACCTTGCTCCCCTAACAACCCTCTGGATAACTTCTTGATCACAAGCAAGATGTCCCGTGCCGGATAACCTCATCTGGAGATAATCCGCCACATCCTGCACCCATCTTCTCTTTGGCCTTCCTCTTCCTCTCTTACCAGGCCTTTACCCCTCTATTACTGTTCTCTCTAAACTTTCGCGATGTTTCAAGTTACCAAAATATTTTAATTTTCCAATGCAAGGTCAGTGAAATAAATAAGATAAATGACAAATATTCAAATTTTGGCTGATGCAAGTGTTTACTTACTGAGACAGCAAGATGATTATTTTTATTATCATGAAACTGGGAATTATTGGCAAATTATAATTTTTTTTTTTTTTTTACTATAATTTTATACACATCACTCATAATTTGTTTCTTTTAAATTTGCATTTATACAAGGGGGAGCAATCATTAAAGATGAACAAAGAGGATAATTAAATTAATTACCTGCCCTTTGGCCTGACAAATTTTTTTGATGACACACCACTGCCCCACTCTCTGTCCGTTATGCCATTATTAAACACCAAAGACAGATGTTTAAAGTTAGTCGTGCATCCTTTAGAGGAGTTGTCAAGCCAACCCCAGCATTTTTTGGCTGTTGTAGCTTTTCTAGGCAAGTTTACATCCAGTAGTTTGCCACTGCTTTCTGGACGGTCAGCTTCTCGATATCACTGTCGAAACCAAAGCAAGGCGCAAGGCCCGCAGCTGGGATCAAACCTGACACCCCAGCATTAAGTAGCGCGCTCGCAACGGCAAGCCACAGACGCCAACAAAGACAAATTAAGACTTCAAAATAATTTTTGTTTAAACTGCAATACTTCAGAAGACAAACCCTCAATTGCTATTTCTGTGTAACTATAATTAGACCCAGCCCTTCTTCATTGTGAAGCTGCAAACACTGAACAGGCACAATGAGGGACCGGCCAAAGCATGACTGCTTCTCAAGAATTTGTAATGGATGGCCAGGCCTAAATATTTGCATCTCAGGGCCAAAGGGATCCTTTTTTTATTTTTAGTTAAAACAAAGACAACTCACATTTACAGATAGCCCTCTATCTTATATATCTGTTTTGTAACACAGGGCAAAGAATATAGCAGAGAATAGAGAATCAGAAGCAACAATGACATTCAGTCTGTTTAATCAATTACTAATTACTGTTATCATGAAAACTAATATACTGCAATAGTTAGGGAATAAAGAGAGAGTGGTAGATAACCGAGACACAATGATAGATTAGATAAAAGAGAGTCAACTGGGTGTAGACCATGACAGAGGCCAAGAAGATGGTAGAGAGATCATATTTAGGTGGGCGTACAAACATCTGCAGTCACCAGTTGGAAGACAGGCCAATCACAGACAAGTGTGGAGGTGGGGAACAACTGCATAAATTAATGAACCTCAAGGGTTCAGAATCCTCAAGTACAGACTTTATTTTAGCTGAGCTGATAGACTGAATCTTTAAATCTGAGTTTTGGATAGTCACAAAACAACTGAAATTGTGAACTCCCAATGGTCGACAGTGAGAGAACAACACAAACCCTACACACATGAACATACATCATTTGCTGGCCTTATACCAAAGACATTTCAGTGCAATTTTAGTGATTTTCATGTACATGCATTTTTAATGACCTGTTATTTGTCATTTCACAATATGCCAAAGGCACACATGAGTATTCCTGCCGTGGCAAAGTGGCTAGGCGCTTACCGCTAATCAGAAGGTCATGGGTTCGCTCCCTGGTGGAGCCAGACTTTTTAAAAAATGACCTTGGCTCCCAGGTTGACCCAGCCTTGAGTTGATACCGGTTGCAGTCCCGGGAAGTAAAGGTGGCCAGCGTGATGCTGACCACATCACCCATCTTGTGCCAATACCAATTAGTCTGTTAAATACATGTCTAGTCCTATATGCCCTATACGCCTAAAGGCGGGGAAAAGGATCCTTCACCCTTTACACAAGAAGAGAAGAGGCAGACCAAGGAAGACCTGAATACATACTGGACAGGCCGTAGGCACGCAACCATGAAGTCCATCACATCTGATAGTCAAAGGTGGTGGAAGCTGATCAGACAGTCAACACTGGTGACCCAATGACATGCAGTGTTAAGGGATAATGATGATGATGACAGTTTTTCATTTGTCACCCAATATTCAAACGCAACCTTCTCGAAGCAAGAATTTAGCACATATGGACTCTGGCACAGCACCAGTGACATAGTCATACAGTCAATCACCAACCTTTTCTATGAGATCACATATGACAGAGTTGTTGAAGTAGTCGACATGGATCCACTCAATGCCCTGAAAACAGAAATGCACAACAGTTAAAACCATGACCCTACATCACCATCATCATGTAGCAGGTCCTTTGCAGAACGTCGCTCTCATCACAGTCTGCCTGAAAGAAACTCGGTCTCTCGCCAGTTCTTTCCCGCCTCATGCACTTTCACACTCAAGGAGTCACTTCTATCCTGTGCCCATCTTTGTGTCGGTCGGCCCCTGCCCCTCCTTCCTGGTACCATGCCTTCTGCTATAATTTTTTCCAATACGTTGTGGCGCTTGAAATGACCAAAATATTTCAACTTTCGAGAAAGGATGCTGTTTATTAGCCAATCTTCCTTGATATTCAGACCTTTTAAGATGTCAATATTTCTCATCTTCTTTGTCCAAGATATTTTCAGAATCTTTCTATAGCATTTCAGCTCAAAAGCACCTATTCTCTTTCTTAAGGACTGAGATATAGTCCACGACTCACATCCGTATGTAGCCACAGGGAAGATGCATGCTCTCAAAATTATAATTTTTATCTCCTTGCTGGTGCCCCACCATGACCCTACACTTAACATAAAACAAAACTGCCACTACTGCCTGTATTCACCACTTCTGTGGAGGATATTTGAGCCAGAGGATTTAGGGCCGCATGGCTAGTGCTGTTGCCACGGACCGTGCAGGTAAGAATTTAATTTGTTCATAAATATATATTGTAGGCTAATGTTAAAGAGTTTACTGTAATGATGTAGACATTCTAATTAACATAATTTATATGTAAAGAGGCAGGTCTTAAGGAAGGCACAGGCCAGAAAAGATGCTAAGGTACTGAGTGCAAATTGAACGGATTAAAAGGGTGAAAGAGCCAGACATTATTCTGTGTGTTGTGCTTGGATAGGTCACAGTATAGAATGAATGTGTATGAACTAACAAATTAAATCTACTCAAGCAGCAAATCTACTCAAGCAGCAAATCTACTCAAGCAGCAAATCTACTCAAGCAGCAAATCTACTCAAGCAGCAAATCTACTCAAGCAGCAAATCTACTCAAGCAGCAAATCTACTCAAGCAGCAAATCTACTCAAGCAGCAAATCTACTCAGGCAGGAAATCTACTCAAGCAGCAAATCTATTCAAACAGCAAATCTACTTAAGCAGCAAATCTACTCAAACAGCAAATCTACTCAAGCAGCAAATCTACTCAGGCAGGAAATCTACTCAAGCAGCAAAGCTATTCAAACAGCAAATCTACTTAAGCAGCAAATCTACTCAAGCAGCAAATCTACTCAAGCAGCAAATCTACTGAAGCAGCAAATCTACTCAGGCAGGAAATCTACTCAAACAGCAAATCTATTCAAGCAGCAAATCTATTCAAGCAGCAAATCTATTCAAGCAGCAAATCTACTCAGGCAGCAAATCTATTAAAGCAGCAAATCTATTAAAGCAGCAAATCTATTCAAGCAGCAAATCTATTCAAGCAGCAAATTTATTCAAGCAGCAAATCTACTCAGGCAGGAAATCTACTCAAGCAGCAAAGTGCATTTGGCCATCTGAAAAATGAAAAAAATGACAGAGGAGCCCGCATGGCAGTGATGAACGGAATCAACGGATGAATGCACGCTCACTATCTGTATATGTAAAAGGGGAAATTGTCTGGAGAGATGAATACCTACAGTAAGTAGTAATACCAGGACTGATGTATATGAAGATGAGTCCAGAGCCTTTTTGGTTCTTTTTGAATATCCTACCCCAGATGACGTCACAGAACAGTCCAATCTTTTAGAGGATGCTTTTAAAAACCCCAAAACATCTAGAACTGGCAGTAAACCCCAACCCACCTACATCCCACAAGAGAGTGCAGCCTAGGTCCCACGAATGTATGCAGCTACAGAACTCACCTCTCTAACATACTCCTCCTGTTCTTCTTTCAGTGTCAGCTCAATGAAGATCTGCTGCAGCTTCTCGTTGCAGTAGTTGATGATAAACTGCTCGAAACTGTTGTTCTGAAGACAAATAATCAACCGTCAGACATGAGCAAAACAGATCAATGTTTATACTGTCAGACATGAGAGTGACAGATCAATGTTTATACTGTCAGACATGAGAGTGACAGGTCAATGTTTATACTGTCAGACATGAGCGTAACAGATCAATGTTTATACTGTCAGACATGAGAGTGACAGATCAATGTTTATACTGTCAGACATGAGAGTGACAGATTGATGTTTATACTGTCAGACATGAGAGTGACAGATCAATGTTTATACTGTCAGACATAAGAGTGACAGATCAATGTTTATACTGTCAGACATGAGAGTGACAGATCAATGTTTATACTGTCAGACATGAGAGTGACAGATCAATGTTTATACTGTCAGACATGAGAGTGACAGATCAATGTTTATACTGTCAGACATGAGAGTGACAGATTGATGTTTATACTGTCAGACATTAGAGTGACAGATCAATGTTTATACTGTCAGACATGAGAATGACAGATTGATGTTTATACTGTCAGACATGAGAGTGACAGATTGATGTTTATACTGTCAGACATGAGAGTGACAGATCAATGTTTATACTGTCAGACATGAGAGTGACAGATCAATGTTTTTACTGTCAGACATGAGAGTGACAGATTGATGTTTATACTATCAGACATGGAGAGCTACGACCTCTGCCCTATGCACCTTAGGCTCAAGAAGAAAATCTAACTAACTAAATGAATCCTTACACAGTTACACACACTGGTTTATGTACAAAATGCTTGTAAATCCCTCACAATTACACACACTGGTTTATGTACACAATGCTTGTAAATCCCCCACAGTTACATACACTGGTTTATGTACAACAGGCTTGTAAATCCCCCACAATTACACACACTGGTTTATGTACACAATGCTTGTAAATCCTCCACAATTACACACACTGGTTTATGTAAAAAACGCTTGTAAATCCCCCACAATTACACACACTGGTTTATGTACAACAGGCTTGTAAATCCCCCACAATTACACACACTGGTTTATGTACACAATGCTTGTAAATCCCCCACAATTACACACACTGGTTTATGTACAACAGGCTTGTAAATCCCCCACAATTACACACACTGGTTTATGTAAAAAATGCTTGTAAATCCTCCACAATTACACACACTGGTTTATGTAAAAAATGCTTGTAAATCCCCCACAGTTACACACACTGGTTTATGTACAAAACGCTTGTAAATCCCCCACAATTACACACACACTGGTTTATGTACACAATGCTTGTAAATCCCCCACAATTACACACTGGTTTATGTACACAATGCTTGTAAATCCCCCACAATTACACACACTGGTTTAAGTACACAATGCTTGTAAATCCCCCACAATTACAAACACTGGGTTTATGTACAAAATGCTTGTAAATCCTCCACAATTACACACACTGGTTTATGTACACAATGCTTGTATATCCCCCACAATTACAAACACTGGTTTATGTACAAAATGCTTGTAAATCCCCCACAATTACACACACTGGTTTATGTACAAAATGCTTGTAAATCCCCCACAATTACACACACAGGTTTATGTACAAAACACTTGTAAATCCCCCACAGTTACACACACTGGTTTATGTACAAAATGCTTGTAAATCCCCACAATTACACACACTGGTTTATGTACACAATGCTTGTAAATCCCCCACAGTTACACACACTAGTTTATGTACAAAACGCTTGTAAATCCCCTACAGTTACACACACTGGTTTATGTACAAAATGCTTGTAAATCCCCCACAATTACACACACTGGTTTATGTACAAAATGCTTTTAAATCCCCCACAATTACACACACTGATTTATGTACAACATGCTTGTAAATCCCCCACAATTACACACAGCCTGCCTAACAGCCATAAGACTCACCTCCAACACCTCAAAGCCATAGATATCCAGCACACCCATGACTTTGGTCTTCGAACCCAGGTCCTCTTTCACCTAAAACGAAATGGGACAGTTAAAATGGCTGACTGAATTCCTTATGATGTGTCACTAGAATCTGTTCTTTTTCTCCTTGTTCACTGGCTGTAAACTCACGGGCAACTTTTTGGCTGTTTATCCACTTCTGGACTTTAGTCTTGATCCAGAACTTAAGTTTTGTGTGCATATCCGTTTTACAGACGCAGCTTCTTCAGTAACCAATGAAGAGCCAGCATGCTAACAGTACTAGCTGCAACCGGATTAAAAGTCCATCTTTGTTTCTCCCTCAGTGCTAAGTATCATCCACAACCTCTGTTGAATTTGTCTTTCAGTGTATAGATTCTCTGTCTGGTAAATCCATTTGACTCTAGAGAGAATTTCTCACATCCACTTTATCCTAAAGTAGCTTACCGCCCAGAGGAGCAGCAGCAGTTTATCAGCCAACTCATTACCTTTCAGATATTGCAAAATAACTGTAAAAACCATAACGTGCCCATCTCCCCCCCCCCCCACCCCCCCCCCCCGGCACCGCCCTCTTCCCGACAGCGTCCCCCCTTTCACGCCGGTGCTCCCCCCCCCTCCCCCCCATCGGTGCCCCCCACCCCCAGGGAATGCTGAAGAAGAAGCTTCAAAATTAGCAGTGCACTGAATTTAATATTGAAGCTTTTTATTAATTTTGTGTCAGGCTCTTCTCTTATTTTATGTTAACCTCTGCTTTGCTAAAGCAATTGTGTTAAAGTGCAATGCAGAACCTGTGTTGTTATATGAACGTGCTCCCCGTTGTGGGTTCCGGGGAACCATTTGGGGGGGGGGGGGGGGAAAGAATAGTCCAACTTCTTGCCCAACAAGCATGTCGACTAATTAGTGGTTTCCTTCAAAGTCAGAGTGCATCTGCCTGAGAGGCAAGGAACCAACAGTCTGTATAAGATAAGTCAGATTTTTGCCCGCACCGCTCAGATTTTGCAATAAGTCTAAAGTCCAGAAGTAGAAGAACAACTAGAACTTTCCGCCAGAGTTTACAGCTGATGAACGCGAAGAAGAAGAAGAAGATATGCATGTGCGACATAGGCAATAAGCAGTCAAGCTTTAAAAAAAAAAAAAACTTTACCAGCAGCGGAGATGTGGTTTTTGAGAAGAATGCAAAGAATATCATGGATGATAGAAAAAAAAATGAAGCAATCCTCCGAAAAATAGATGAAAGTTGTAAAAAAATTAGAACAATTTGACGTAGCCAGTCTGTGTTTTTGGACATATTGTGAGAATAAATAGACTCAAGAACTTGGTACAGCTGGCAAGATAAGCGGAGAAAGAGCAAGTGAGAGGCAGAGAGAGAAAAGTGCCTGGATAGCTTGGCCACAGAGAATGGGCTGAGATAAGAGCAATGAATTGATCCATGCTTCTGGTGATCGTGTAAGGTAGCAAAACATGACGGTCTACACTTTCCATCAAGACACATGATAGTTTTAGGTTTAGATGACGGATCAACATCATGACACATGATAGTTTTAGGTTTAGATGACAGATCAACATCATGACACATGATAAGTTTAGGTTTAGATGACAGATCAACATCATGACACATGATAAGTTTAGGTTTAGATGACGGATCAACATCATGACACATGATAAGTTTAGGTTTAGATGACGGATCAACATCATGACACATGATAAGTTTAGGTTTAGATGACGGATCAACATCATGACACATGATAAGTTTAGGTTTAGAAGACGGATCAACATTATGACACATGATAAGTTTAGGTTTAGATGACGGATCAACATCATGACACATGATAAGTTTAGGTTTAGATGACGGATCAACATCATGACACATGATAAGTTTAGGTTTAGATGACGGATCAACATCATGACACATGATAAGTTTAGGTTTAGAAGACGGATCAACGTCATGACACATGATAAGTTTAGGTTTAGATGACGGATCAACGTCATGACACATGATAAGTTTAGGTTTAGATGACGGATCAACATCATGACACATGATAAGTTTAGGTTTAGATGACGGATCAACATCATGGCACATGATAGGTTTAGGTTTAGATGATGGATCAACATCATGACACATGATAAGTTTAGGTTTAGATGACGGATCAACATCATGACACATGATAAGTTTAGGTTTAGATGATGGATCAACATCATGACACATGATAAATAAGTTTAGGTTTAGATGATGGATCAACATCACAGCACAAGGGTAGTAACCCATGTGCTTTGTTCTACAACTGACTCAAGCCTGAATCCGAATAATCTCAGTGCAGTGCACAAACTCCATAGCACCGGCGAGGATCTTGAAATACCTTAAATATATTTTTAACTCCAAATTTTTCCCAAGGCAGCGCAGTTAGGCTACTCATTTTGATTTCCAAATGCCAAGGGATTTTTTTACACCCGCAACAATACACACAGGCGTCTGATCTTACTCTCCCAGAGACCAGAAAAAATTACTAGAAGTCCAGTTGAAAAAAATCCCAGCTTTCACCAGGGCTTGAACCCGGGACCTTCAGCACTTGAGGCGGACACCATGCCTCGAGACCATGCAGCACATGATAATGACTGCTAAAACCAGTCAGAGATGAATGGAGGAGGTGGGTGATATGTTCAGTAGTAAACCTCAGAATGCTGAAGAAGAAGGAAAAAGAACTGCTACAGCTAGAATTCGTCTGGCAAAAAATCTCTCATGTTGTTAATAACTGAAACAAAGTATTCAAAGTGTGCAGCTTCTTTTTCTTCTTAGCATCCACAGGCTGTAAACTCCGGAAAGTGGAAAGTTCTGGTTGTTCATCCTATTTCTGGAGTTTGGTCTTGTTACAGAATGAGTTTTGAGAGCATATCTGTTTTACAGATCTGGCTTATTTGAATGCAGACTGCTGGTTCCTTTACTCTCAGGCACATGCACTCCAACTTCAAAGGAAACTTTCCTTATTAGTCATCTTGTACACATGCATGTCTAATCTCTCCCCTCCCCCAGAATGAGGCCCCCTAACCCACTATAGCACTTTCTTCTCTTCTTCTTCTTCTTCTCTGTTACTACTTTGGATGTTGAAGGAGATATAAGGTTTTGCTTAATGCTCTTTTGGCCATAGACACATCGGACTGTTGTTGAGTTTCTCTGATGTCATCTTTCCATTTTTTTCTTGGTCTACCTCATACTCTACATCCTTGTCAAACTTCAGTGTATAAACCATTATTATGTACAAAAGACATGCAGACACGACAATATCCACAGCAAACATGACAGAATCAACGACAGGGAATATCAACCTTTATACTGTCGTTAATTCTCTTGATCAGCCATGTAAACAGGCGGTTGTAAATGGCTTTACCCAGAGCATCTCTGGCATACATTGCCTGTAATGAGAAACAGATAAATGTAAGCATGTAAATAAAACATCATCATGATTTATTTGCAATACAGGGATTGCAAAAGTGTAAGTTAGTTAGTTAGTAAACAGATTATCCGATCTGCACATCAAACTATTAAGTCCATAAGGGCTCAGATAAACTCTTCAGTAAATAGCACAGCGTGTAGCAGCTGGTGACACCAGTCCCATGCAAGTGAAGGACCATTTTTCATGGCTTCATGTGTACTGGGCATATAGGGCTAAGCCTATATTCTACATACCAGTCACACTGTGCCAGCAACATTTACTTCCCAGGTCCTTACCTGGTACCCATTTAAGGTTAGGTCAAAGTGTAGAAGTATAATCATAATAAATCAGAAAACATCTAAACCCTGCACAGTAACATCTGAAGTAAGTTAGGGATGCGTCTTATCACGACTGTTGTTTATCACCTGCATCGACAATATATGCAAGAATGCCAAGCTGAGGAGTGAAAATATCAGTAACATTAAAGAAATACTCTTTTCTGATGACCAGGCCCTGGTAGCAGATACAGCCATGAATTTGCAATACCTCACATTCATGAATGAAGAATGTAAAACAAATAAAATGAGAATCAACACAGAAAAGGCAGAAGTAATGGTCAACAGGAATAAAGAAACAGAACCTAAATACAGCAGCAGAGTGTAAAGTCATTAAACAGAGCGTCTGAGTTTCAATGTCTGGAAACAACATTCACTGGAGATCTGAGAACAGCATTCACTGGAGATGTAGGAACAGCAATCACTGTAGATGTGGGAACAGCATTCACTGGAGATGTAGGAACAACAATTACTGTAGATGTGAGAACAGCATTCACTGGAGATGTAGGAACAACAATCACTGGAGATCTGAGAACAGCATTCACTGGAGATGTAGGAACAACAATCACTGGAGATCTGAGAACAGCATTCACTGGAGATGTAGGAACAACAATCACTGGAGATGTGGAAACAGCATTCACTGGAGATGTAGGAACAACAATCACTGGAGATCTGAGAACAGCATTCACTGGAGATGTAGGAACAACAATCACTGTAGATGTGAGAACAGCATTCACTGGAGATGTAGGAACAACAATCACTGGAGATCTGAGAACAGCATTCACTGGAGATGTAGGAACAACAATCACTGGAGATCTGAGAACAGCATTCACTGGAGATGTAGGAACAACAATCACTGTAGATGTGAGAACAGCATTCACTGGAGATGTAGGAACAACAATCACTGGAGATCTGAGAACAGCATTCACTGGAGATGTAGGAACAACAATTACTGGAGATGTAGGAACAGCATTCACTGGAGATGTAGGAACAACAATCACTGTAGATGTGAGAACAGCATTCACTGGAGATGTAGGAACAACAATCACTGGAGATCTGAGAACAGCATTCACTGGAGATGTAGGAACAACAATTACTGGAGATCTGAGAACAGCATTCACTGGTGATGTAGGAACAACAATCACTGGAGATGTGGGAACAGCATTCACTGGAGATGTAGGAACAACAATTACTGGAGATGTGGGAACAGCATTCACTGGAGATGTAGGAACAACAATCACTGGAGATCTGAGAACAGCATTCACTGGAGATGTAGGAACAACAATTACTGGAGATCTGAGAACAGCATTCACTGGTGATGTAGGAACAACAATCACTGGAGATGTGGGAACAGCATTCACTGGAGATGTAGGAACAACAATTACTGGAGATGTGGGAACAGCATTCACTGGAGATGTAGGAACAACAATTACTGGGGATCTGAGAACAGCATTCACTGGAGATGTAGGAACAACAATTACTGGAGATCTGAGAACAGCATTCACTGGAGATGTAGGAACAACAATTACTGGAGATCTGAGAACAGCATTCACTGTAGATGTAGGAACAACAATTACTGGAGATCTGAGAACAACATTCACTGGAGATGTAGGAACAGCATTCACTGGAGATGTAGGAACAGCAATCACTGTAGATGTGGGAACAGCATTCACTGGAGATGTAGGAACAACAATTACTGTAGATGTGAGAACAGCATTCACTGGAGATGTAGGAACAACAATCACTGGAGATGTGGGAACAGCATTCACTGGAGATGTAGAAACAACAATTACTGGAGATGTGGGAACAGCATTCACTGGAGATGTAGGAACAACAATCACTGGAGATCTGAGAACAGCATTCACTGGAGATGTAGGAACAACAATTACTGGAGATCTGAGAACAGCATTCACTGGAGATGTAGAAACAACAATTACTGGAGATGTGGGAACAGCATTCACTGGAGATGTAGGAACAACAATCACTGGAGATCTGAGAACAGCATTCACTGGAGATGTAGGAACAACAATCACTGGAGATGTGGGAACAGCATTCACTGTAGATGTCTGAATTATAAAATTAATATATGATGCAGTGAAGACAACTAAGTACTGGGACAGCCAGGCCGCCACCCCTTCCTTTTTTTTCCCCGCCCCCTTTTTAAAAAAATGTCTTTCTTGGAGCATAATACAACCCCAATAAGCACACACAAAAACATCTCATACAAAGCATACTCATTCCCACTCCATATTACCAGTTGCTAGACATGGTCACACAGCAAACCAGGAAAGAAAATGAGTAACCATGGAAATGAGATTTCTGATAAGGGCCACGGGAGTGACCAGACGAGATAAAATCAGAAATGAGGTCATAAGAGACCAAAGTCGTCAGAGTACCAATTCTAAAATACATAAGAAGACAGCAAATCAGATGGGTTACCCACTTAGAGAAAATGCTTTGTGGCCCAACATCACAGAAGGCGTACACGAAAAGAGGAGGATATAGAGCATGAGGTAGACCAAGAACAAGACAGAAAGATAATATCAGAGAAACTTTACAACAGCACAATGTGTCTATGGTCAAGCGGCCAGAAGAGCAAGAAACAGAAATGCATATTTCCCTCGACACCTGAAGCATTAAGAGGAAATTCTTCTTCTTCTTTCGTTTACTTGAAACAGGTTGTATATATCTGCAAAGTTGTCTCTAGTATGAACTTCACTGTCTTTTACAAATCACTCAGTGACCCGTAAAGATTGGCCTGCGCTGATGTTTCTCTTGGCCACAAGGCTTGCCTTGATATGTTGTATTTGGGACAATCTTGGAAGATGTGATCTGTTGTCTCACGCGCCAGTCCACACGTGAACATGGCTGATTTATCAGCCAGTCTTAAATTTTCTGTACCTCTAGCTGCGAAGTCGACTGCATCCTGTTCTAAGTCGTACAGTTATGAGGCAAAAGAGGAAATGAACAGAAAAAAAAAGGAAAAAATGCCAAGCAATGTCAAGTGACTTACATCTCCCACACTCAGATCTGTCTTGACCATGTCCCCACGAACTGCCACAGTTCTTTGCATCAACGCCCCAGCCAGTGTTTCCAAGGAACAGCCCAGAAGATGACAGACGTCCTGCACCGCTGTCAAGATGGAGAAGAAGAAAAAAACTGCCATGTTAGGGGTAAGTGTCTCAACTGCTTTTCATGAAGTTAACCAGCGCCGGCCTGCTGCTATTCCTGGATTTAACCATATTAACCGTATTTGTTGGTGTATAAGACATTTTTTTTTCAAAACAGGCCTTAAAATTGACCTTCCTGGTTTGAGTTTCAGTGCCCTATTGAGGGGAGAACAAGAATGGACTCAATAGCTCCTGTACAAGCATATCCGCCGATCAGGGGGTGCGTCTGATACAAAGAAGCATTTTATACACCAGCATATGCTCCTATGATCATCATCAGTTCTTGTTATGCCTAGTGGCACATGAGGCTTCAGAGAGGACTTTCCATGCTTTCCTGTCCTGTGCAATTTTCAGTGCAGTTTTCCATGTCAGAGATGCTGCACTCAGGTCACTTTCCATCGTTCGTCTCCATGTTGTTTTTGGGCGCCCCTGTTTTCTCTTTCCCTCTGGTGTTCATGTGAGAGCTGTTTTGGCAGGCATATCAGGATTCATTCTCATAACGTGGCCAAGCCATTTCCATCTTCTCTTGGTTATCATACTGTCTAAAGTTTCTTGATTACTGACTTGAAGTAGTTTAGTGTTTGATAATTCTACGTAGACATGCATCCTTTTTGGTCATTCTCCAGCATTCCGCTCCATAAAGAAGAACTGGCAAAATGATGCTCTTGTAGAGTCGGAGTTTTGTTCCTCTGCAGTAATTGTTGGATTTCCAGATTTGCCTCATCCTTCCAAAAGCAGCTCTAGCTTTGTTCAGACTGAATGTCCTCTTCGGTCCCTCCTGGCAGGGGACACCACACTGCCAAGACATGTGAAATGTTCTACATTTTCAAGAGTTTGGTTATTTATGGTCACTGGTTGTTAGTTTGGACTGCTTGTCATGATCTTAGTTTTCTTTGTATTTATTCTCAGTCCCACCATTTCTGCTGTGCTGTGTATTCTGTTACTTTTCTCTGGTATATGTTCATGTTTATGCTCCTATTTTAGTATACGATTAATACAAAAAGCTATGTGATACTGCATAACCAAACATATCTAACTAGCAGGCATACAAATCCATTATATTATAAATATCCATTATATTATAAATATCCATTATATTATAAATATCCATTATATTATAAATATCCCATTATATTATAAATATCCATTATATTATAAATATCCATTATATTATAAATATCCATTATATTATAAATATCCATTATATTATAAATATCCATTATATTATAAATATCCATTATATTATAAATATCCATTATATTATAAATATCCATTATATTATAAATATCCATTATATTATAAATATCCATTATATTATAAATATCCATTATATTATAAATATCCATTATATTATAAATATCCATTATATTATAAATATCCATTATATTATAAATATCCATTATATTATAAATATCCATTATATTGAAACAGAAGAAGAAAAAAACTATATATATCCTAAATATAACCTGAATGGGTTGAACAGGATATTGTTTTAATTACTACTACCACCATTATGATGACCACCACAACCACGATCCCCATCACCAACACTTACAACATCATTAGACAATAATCACCAACAGCAACACCATCCTTCGTCATTCTCGCCAAAAAAAAAAAAAAAAAAAACTGCTGCTCTCACTCAATCCATGCGTCTCCATGGTGAAGTGGTCAAGCCGGTTACCTCGCGCTCTGAAGTTCATGGGTTCATGAGAGCTAGGGTTTTCATGCTTTGTGCGAGGCTCACAGAAGGCAGCTGGCCATTCCGCAGAGAGAGCCTCAGATCAAACCTGATGCAATGCAGTTAATCCTCTTGACTTTAATCTTTATCCCATTCCCACACTCAAACATCACCAGAAGATCTCCTACCTTTAATATTGACAACATCACAACCATCTGTACCATCAGGATTGGTCCTCTCTGAGAACTCCACATTACCCAAGTTAAGAATGCTGGCCAGCAGCTGGAACACCATGTGAATCTCTTCCTTGGTGAAGCCGATCACTTCCATACCATTCTGAAAACATTCATTCACAGAACATTGAGTTAGCCCTGTTATCCTTGGAGGCCCCAAACTTGGTACTTCTGAGATGGTGCCATTTCCCAGTAAGAGCTGTGTAATTTGATAAGCTTACACTTATCATGTGATGACACATGATGATAATGCTGACAGAGTCGCATCACAGAAGGCACTGGGGCCTTACCATGTACTACTCCAAAAGACAACTGTGCGGGAACAGTAGACAACCTTCATTATGGAGATGGCACATAAGTTTCTTCTTTCTTTCTAACGTGATATGTTGAATCTTGAATTAAGAATCTCCCCGTGTGGGTTCTGGGGCCCTGTTATAGGGAAAACCAGAACAGACCCACTGCCTACTCAAAAGCATGTCGTAAAAGTCGACTAATTGGAAGCTTTCTTCAAAATCGGAGTGGATCTGCCTGAGAGGCCAGGAACCAACAGTCTGCATACAAATTAGTCAGATGTGTCAAACAGATGCACATGCAACACTCAAGTTCTGGAACAGGACTGCTGTCCTGAAGTGGATGAACAACCACTACTTTCGGCCAGAGTTTACAGTTGGTGACCGCGAAGAAGAAGAAGAAGAAGAATTATGAATCGACATCACCGCATTCGAGACATTCCCAAAAGTGCCATGTCCCCATCTTCAGCAGCAAATGACGAGTTCTAATTATGATGGCAGCAGTAACAGTCTTCTGCGGCGTCCGTGGCTTAGGCGTTGCGAGTCCGACTCATAATCCAGCGTACCGCGATCGAAACCAACTGCTGGCTGCGTGGAATTTTATCATGGTATGGGGCGTCACAGGTCGATCCAGCCTAAAATGGGTACCAGGATGGGCTGTCCTGGGAAAGTAAAGACAGCCGGCGTAATGCTGACCACATTACCCACCGAGTGCTGATGGTCTGTAAAAATATGGGCGCTCTTCCCATTTGCCCGATATGCCTAAAGGCGTGGAAAGGGATCTTTACTTTTTTTTTTTTTTTTTACTAGTAACAGTTTTCTAACCTCATGAAAATTGGTACTAGATCAATTTCCGGAATTTTCTCTTCAGGAAGGACAGGTGACGAGGAATGTAAGTTGCACCCCACCCAGCCTGCCACGGCCTAGAATGTATGAAGGTTTAACACTTTAAACACCAAGGCAGTATTTTGTATAGAACTACTTCACACTTCACATGTTAGATGGGAACAACTGAAGCATATTTTGGGGGCAGTGTGGTCTTGAGGCATGGCGTCCGCCTCGAGTGCTAGAGGTCATGGGTCAAGCCCCGATGAAGGCTGGTATTTTTTTACGTGGACTTCTAGTAATTTCCCCCTGGTCTCTGGTTAGTGAGATCGGATGCCCATGGGATTTTTTCACGTGGACTTCTAGTAATTTCCTCCTGGTCTCTGGGTATTGAGATTGTACACCCGTGTGTATTGTTGCACATGTAAAAAATCCCTTGGTAGTTGGAAATCGAAAAAGAGTAGCCTATTGACGCTGCCCGGGCAAAATTTGGAGTTGAAAATCTACTCTAGTATTTCAGGATAATCACCGGTGCTATGGAGTTCGCGCTGTGCACTGAGATTCTTCATACTCAGGCTTGAGTCAGAAGTAGAACGGAACACTTATGGGTTACTATCCTTGTACCATGATACTGATCCGTGGTCTAAACCTAAACCTGAACCTAAACTGAAACATATGTCTAATTATGAATATGAAAGAAACTTCATGAATATTACACACTTCAATAACCTCTTCTTAGCCTTCCCCGGCTGTAAACCCCAGTTGAAAGTTCTGGTTGTTTGTCCACTTCTAGACTTTGATCTTGCTCCAGAACTTGAGTTTTGCGTGCACATCTATTCAACAGATCTGGCTTGTTTGTATGCAGACTGTTGCTTCCTCGCCTCTCAGGCAGGGCAGATGTACTCTGACCTGACTGAAACACCACTTTTAGCCTGTACTTACGACATGTCTGTTATAGGCAGTGAGTTTTTTAATTTTTATTTCTTTCCCAAACAGGTGGCCCAGGAACGCACATGGAGAATGAATACATGAGGTTCTTACTCTGACAATCTTGAAGTCCTCCACATCATCCCTGGTGTCAACCTCAATACAGCCGCTCTTGTTGAGAAATGAGTAGTTGTTGGCTAAAGGTACCAGCTTCAGCTCCTCTGGGAAAAGATGCAACATTTATCCAACATTAACAACCTGTCAATTATTATTTTTTTCCTGAAAAAAATTGTCTAGAACAGTGTTTCCCAAACTGTTATTAGCCGCTGCGCCTTTTTTTAAAATTAAAATTTGCCCACAGCACCCTAAGCTAAGTAAAAGTATGACTACTATTCATATTTAGAGATTTTTAAAAAACGTGTATCTTCAAACATTTTGCGGCGCCTCTGTGAAGATGTCACGGCTCCCAGGGCGCTGCGGCGGACAGCTTGGGAATCACTGGTCTAGAAGGTGAATACACATTATATTATAATATCAAGGCTACTTTGTGCTATCAATGCCAGATATGGACAGTCCTAGAAAAACATAAATGCAAAATCACAACATGTGAGATGAGATGTATAAGAAATGCAATGTGATAAACAGACAGAGAGTTGCCAATTTTAAAGAAAAAAACAAACTAAGAATAATAGTAGGCACAATACCAGAAAATAAAATTTTTAAAAGAACATTTAAGAATCAAATGGTTGGGTCTTCTGGTCAGAATGGAACAATGACTACATACATCTATCTGATAGTTTAGTCAATGCCAAGCAGGCAAGCTATGGCAAACTACCTTCTTCAAAATACCAAGATAACTCATGATTTGAAATGTTATACATCCTTGAGAACTTTGTGACAACTGTTGAGATTTACACAAAAAGAGGATGGGAAAGGCATACAGAAGAATACCTAGATGGCTTGTGACACAGATGAGGCAGGACAAGAGCACTGACCTTATCTGTGATTCTGGTAATTGTGGGCAATAGCAAAATCATGACCGTCCATGCTTATCAGCAGGGCACATGATGATTGTGATGATGACAAAAGGATGGTATTGAACAACAATTAGCTGTTAGTAGTATGAATCTGAACGCATACAGCCAAACTGATTGTAATAAAAATATAACATCAATAGTCAATTATCAGTGGTTAAATTTGAGAGGATCAACCACTGCACAGGATTTAGACCCCTATTGTCTCTCCCTGCAGAATGGCCAGCCGCCTGTCGAGTGTCACACAAAACACAAACTCCAGCGATGATCCCCAGGGATCCCTGTAAAAACTGCACTCATAAATTGAATTACGCGTCCATCAGGTGAACCCACGACCTTCAGAACAAGATAAACAGCTTGACCACTTTGCTACAGAGACCTTTAGAAGCAGTGGAGCTTCCAACCGAAATGGCCGATAGCCAGCTGACCACTGATGCTCCTAACAGTTGTTTGTTTCCAGCTAGGTCTTGCTGATGCAAATTCAGAATTTCGGAACATGGTGAACTAAAGGTTCAGTCAGGCTGCTATTGATCTGCGTGCTTGGTGTGACACTGTGAGCTGTGCATTTCATGTGAAATGTTTGTTTTTCACTGTTTTGTCTATGATGTATCGCTGATGCACAGTGAATTAGCAGGTGGGTGATTACTTTTGCATTGACATGATCTTTTGCAGACGCAATGCTGATTTCATGATAGAGAGTTTGCACCAACAGTGCGCAGCTATTCTGGTGTCGGACCATTAGTGTTAGCACATCTGACAGCTGTCTCATGCATTTATTACTTTTCAATGTAAAAGCTTCAAGATTTTATTGGACTGACAAGTTTTCCACTAGTTTTCAAAAGGGACGGTGAAGGACATTTTGTGTGTTTTCCCCCCCTGGCAGAGGAAGGGAGCATTTATGGGGCGACCCATCTGCAGTGACAGTGGAACCTCAACAAACAACTAACCAAAAAAAAATAATGACTGTAAGTGAATGAAGAATGTGCCTCACCAAGTTCATTCTCATCCATCCCCTGCAGTAGTTGATAGAAGATGTGGAAACTGCGTTCTCCGCTGTTTTGTGATGCCACCCTAGACTGAAAAAATGAACATCAATCAGTGTTGCATGAAACAGTGGAATCAAACTGAAAATTCTCCATTTTTGTACAGGAAGGTCTAAAAGTTCAGTCACACTGCTATTGATCTGAGTGCTTGGTGTGGCACTATGAGCTGTGGATTTCAAGTGGAATGTTTTTTTTGTGTGTGTACCTGTGACATATTGCTGATGCAATGAATTGGCAGCGAACAACCAGGGCTTTTTTTTCTACTGCACACATCACAGTATAAGCCACTCCGTCCTTTTTTCGTAGCAAATGTCTTAAAATGTAGATGCTAACTGTTACTATAGCAGACACTGATTTTACCCAAGTTTTTTTCGACTGTGACCAACCGTGGTGTTGTGAATTGCAGATTTAGAAAAGGAGGCGTGGCCTGTCATCGCAATGTTGGTGGTGCCCTTATGTGATTAAAATTGACTGCGTGTGCAACTGCTAATCTGTTGGTTACTTCTGCTGAGGAACTGCATTCCTAATGTTGGACTGTTTGTGTTAGCACTTCTGATGGCCACCGCATGCTTTTAATGCGTGTGTATGCTAGTGTATATGCTGAGACAGCAGTCTGTCAGTCTCTCCACAAGCGACTGTGGTGAACATTTTGTGTGTTTGTCGTTGGCACAGGAGCGGAGCAACTATGGGGGTGACCCGTTTGCTATTATACTGAAACTTACATTACTATTACCATTACCATTACTGATTTTACCCATGTTGTTCTCTTCCTCTAAAAATTCCTCAAACATCTCCCTCCTGGATCCACCCAGATTCCATGTACATACATTCTTACACATGATCTTTCACCTAATCTCATGTTTCCTGTCACCATTCATTTATAAACGTCTTTCAGAATGTCTCCTTTGTCCAGTACAAGTGTTCCTGTAAATATCACTTTAGTAACCCTTTAGTGTCGACGTAGGCAAAAATCATGAGCCTAGGGATCAATCACATACTCCACAAATGTGGGAGCTGGATAATCTTAGCCTTGGCCACCTACTCTTTTAGCCTGGTCCTGGTTTTTTTCAATTTATTTAAATAATGCGGACACAAACATTACATTGCACAATTTATTGCCATGGGATATTTATTTGTATTTCATCAGCTGTGTTACTTAAGGGTTACATTAATAAATAATAAGGCCCCCCAAAAAAATGAAAAAATTCCACTGAAATGCAGATGATCTCTCGATAAATGTTTGTTTCGGAGTTCACAGAAGTCACATGACTAATAAGTGTAACTTCAAATTTATAACAAATTCCTTCTGATTACACAGGAGGGGGATTCTACATTGTTATTGTTAAAGTTTCGCGCCAGTCTGGGCAGTTGCCTTTCCAGTTTGTGGGGAATCATATGGAAAGCTCTGTCCTTGTCATTTACATGTCCGGAATCAAGCAATATATCCTTTAGAATGGGGAATATAGTTATAATAAAAACCACTTGGGAATACATTTTGTGAAACTGACACAGGATTTGACCACTCAAAGAAGGAGAAGAATTCTACTCAAAGACAGAGACAAACTTTGTTCAAAGAAAGAGAAGCTGTCTACTCAAACAGAGAGAAGAATTATGCAAATATGAGGGAACAGTCAGTTCTATTGGTAAAATAGTTAAAAATTGTCAACAACATATGGAAGAATGCACACACAAAAAATTACCCAATAACAAAATTATAATTATAATCTGTGATAAGCGAAGTAATGTTAATATGATCAAGTAGGGAAGGGAGAAATAAAAAGAAGACTAAGGAAGTGATGACAGAGAAGGGGATGGAGACAAAGAGAGGGGAGGGGGAATTGAATGAGGGAGAAGTTCATTGCCTGTACTTTACAGGATGTTGCAGAAGCAACACCAGCAATTTTCTGGCTGCTTGTGATTTCATCAGGCCTAGAGGGGAACGAGGAATCAAAAAAAAGGGGAGAGAGAGAGAAAGAGGAAGCTGAACATTATATGAGAAAAAACACAAAGAGCATAGGGAAAAAGATGAAAACAAAAAAAAGAAGAAAGCGTAATTTAGGGGAGAGAGAGAACAAAATGACTGAGATAAGTTGAAAAAGAAAAAAAACAAGAGGAAAGAGAAAGGAAAACTTGAAAGAAAAGAATAAGGAAAGAAAAAAGATAATAGGATTTTTTTTTTTTCTGAAAAATTAAAGCTTACCTTCTCCAGAAGATCTGAAATGAAAATGTGACAGTAAAAATGCATTAGTAAAACAAACATTCAAGAACATATAATGTGTTGCTTCCTCTATTATTTAACTCTATTAGTATCACCAACACAAAAGGCAAGATTAGCTTTCATAGCACTAGGAAATTTATGGAGGTCAACAGAAATTAAAACTAATACAAAACTTAAAATTGTTAACTCTAATGTCAAACCGGTACTGTTTTATGGAGCAGAAATATGGAGAACAACTAAGGCAATCACTGATAAACTACAAACATTCATTACCTGGTGCCTGCGCAGAACAGAGGGAATTAAATGTTATGATAGAATAATTAATGTAGAACTTTGTGAGAGAATTAAACAAGTTCCAGTGAATCAAGAGGTGAATCAAGAGGTGAATCAAGAGGTGAATCAAGAGGTGAATCAAGAGGTGAATCAAGGGTGAATCAAGAGGTGAATCAAGAGGTGAATCAAGAGGTGAATCAAGAGGTGAATCAAGAGGTGAATCTAGAGGTGAATCAAGAGGTGAATCAAGAGGTGAATCAAGAGGTGAAGAAAAGATGCTGGTGTTTGAAAGGACACAAGCTAAGGAAACCGGAGAACAATATGACTAGAATGTTTTTGCACCGGAAAAAAAAAGGGTCATAGAAATAAAGTAAAAAGTCAAGGATCCTTTTCCAGGCCTTTAGGCGAATTAGGTATATAGGGCTAGACCACCTATATTCTATAGACCAAATGGCATTTGGTAGGTGATGTGGTTAGCATCACACCGGCCGCCTTTACTTTCCCAGGACTGTACCTGGTACCCACTCAAGGCTGGGTCGACCTGGGAGCCAAGGCCATTTTTTTTTTAAATGTCAGGACCTGAACCCATGACCTTCCGATTTGCAGGCGAGTATCTAGCTCTAGACCCCAAAAATACCAAAAAACAGAACTCTCTCTCTCTCTCTCTAGTGATAACGACGATAGTTATGATAGTGATGATGACAATGGTGATTCTGGTGACAGCAATGATAATGGTGACAGTGATGATGACAGTAATGACAAAAATGATGATAGTAGTGATGACAATTATAGGGGCAATGGTATTGATGATGTTAATTATGACAGTGATGATGGAAATGGTGATAGTATTGATGATACGTCATGAAGGTTATGACAATGATGACAGTGGCGACGGTAGTGATGATGTTAATTATGACAGTGATGATGGAAATGGTGATAGTATTGATGATACATATCATGAAGGTTATGACAATGATGACAGGGGCAATGTTAGTGATGATGTTAATTATGACAGTGATGATGGAAATGGTGATAGTATTGATGATACATATCATGAAGGTTATAACAATGATGACAGGGGCGATGGTAGTGATGATGTTAATTATGACAGTGATGATGGAAATGGTGATAGTATTGATGATAAATGTCATGAAGGTTATGACAATGATGACAGTGGCGATGGTAGTGATGATTTTAATTATGAAAGTGATAATGGCAATTGTGATAGTATTGATGATACATGTCATGCAGGTTATGACAATGATGATAGTAGGAAAATCTCAGAAAGTTAGCAAATTCTCTTACAATTATTATTATGGTTTATGTTGTAAAGTCGGCTCTGTGGCTAAGTCAATACTAACGCTTCGTAATGCTAAGATCGATCACAGCTGCGGGCCATGCGTTGGTTTCGACAGTGGTATCAAGAAAGCGGACCATCCAGAAAGCAATAGCAAACTACTAGACGTAAATTTGCCTAGGAAAAAACCACACAACAGCCAGGGGCTGTCACTTTTGTTGTCCCTTTACAAGCCAGCGGCACCCTGTGCATATGAGTCTAGACTTGTATATTTTAACAGACAAATCGGCCTTTGATGGGTGATGCAGTTAATATCATGTCAGCCGCCTTTACTTCCCAGGACATTATCTGGTACCAATTCACAGCTGGGTGGACCTGGGAACCAAGGTCATGTTTGAAATAAATCCGACTCAATGCAGATTTGAACCCAGGATCTTCGGATCTGCAGGGAAGCATCTAGCTGCTACAGCATAGCTGTTCCCATGGCTCGTGACGATTATGATGATGATGGTGACGATGATGGTAAAATCAAGTGAGGCTAGCGAACATTCTCTTACAACAACTTCCCGTCAAGGTACTCACAGTTTGTGATCACCCCACCAACAGGGTCCCCTTTGAAGTCAAACTCAATGTCCATGTACTTTCCCTGTAAGAGTAATAAAACAATCCATGTATTTTTACCGGTAAGAGTATTAAAACAATCTACATTTACTACTCACAAAAACCCAAGCTACTGAAAGGAACATAATTGTGACATTCAAAATCTTTGTAATTTAATGAGTTAAATCATTCATTTTGCACAAAAGAATACGTTAGGTTTCAACCAACGAACTGGCATTTCTTTTGCATCTGGCTCATCTATAGTTTTTATGTGTATGAGCTTTCAACTAAATGAAGTGTACCACGGGGATAACAGTTTTTTTTTTTTTAACAGTATACGTTCCCTGTAAGAGAAAGAATGAACGAACTCCCTTTTACAATGAACCTGGCTAACACTAGAGGTCAAACTTGTAAATAACAACTTGTAAATAACCTCTCAGAAGTCTACGTTCCAAAATATGTATACATGTGAAAAGTCATACAAATTCATCGAAGAGCAACAGATGAGATGGTTTGGCCATCTGACGAAAATGCCCTGGTACCAACTGCCACAGAGAGTCACATTGAAGAAATATTGTGAAAAACAGAGCAAAAGGAAGGTAAAAAGTGGTATCAAGAACTGTTTTAAAGAAATGAAGAACAACAGTTCTTCCAAATCTGGGTCGCTGTCCATCATTGATCCAGTTGGGTCACCAAAACTTGTTAAGTTCAGGTATTCGAGGATTGCCACCTGTAGGTCATGGGTTAATTTCCCAGCTGCATCACACGGTTCATGAGTGCAATTTTTTTTTTTATGGAAACCCATGGGGGTGTCGTCACTGGTTCTGCAGTGTCTGTGCTTTGTGCGAGGCTCTCGACAGGCAACTGGCCATTCTGCAGACAGGGGCCAAGCCATATGGGACATAACCCTGGTTCAATAAAGTTTATCCTCTCAACCTTAACGTTTGCCTGACCCCCCCTCTCCCACATGCTTGCTTGCACACACACACACACCACGCACGCACGTATGCGCACGCACAAATATAAATACACACACACACACCCCAATAGACTTTCAGATGTACTGAGTGATCATTTGGCTATCTTTATTTCTCAGAACATTTTTTTGGTAGCCATATTCACATCAGCAGCGTCCCAGGCTTAGGCGTTGCGAGTCCGACTTATAATTCCAATAGCACGCCAGTTTTGAAAGACACACCCTAAATTAGTTGATGCCTACATTATGCTTGTTAGGGGGACAGTGCAGTAGGTTTTTTCTTGTACATTGGGGCCTCAGACCCCACATGGAAAGACTTAATACATCTTTCATCTGTTGTTATATTTTAATTAGCTCCTTGTTTTTCTGTGTACTTGATTGTCTTTGTTCCTGTCTTGGTAGCTTTCTGTCAGAGTGGATTCAGACAGGGTGAAATAGGGATTCAAACACATGGCTGCTGATCCAGGTGGCTAGCATGCTAGCAAGTGTCTAAGCACTAACACATGGAGGTAAAATGAAAAAAATAAAGATCTCTCTTCACGTCTTTAGAGGCATCGGGCATATGGGAAGAGCACCCATATTTTTACAGACCAATCGGCACTCGGTGGGTAATGTGGTCAGCATTACGCTGGCCGTCTTTACTTCTCCAGGACACACATCCTATTTCATGGAGGTAGCAACACAATTAAACTAAGCCACGCACGCCACTTACAAATCTGGAGGAGTTGTCATTTCTAGTTGTTTTTGCATTGCCAAATGCTGCGAAGAAGAACAATCAAAAGTTAATGCAAACGTGCATTTAAGAGAGACTCAAATGTTATAAAGAAATAAAGGCATAGCTCTGTATGTGTGAATGAGTGAGTGAGTGAGTGAGTGAGTGAGTGAGTGAGTGAGTGAGTGAGTGAGTGAGTGAGTGAGTGGGTGGGTGTGAGTGGGTGGGTGAGTGAGTGAGTGAGTGAGTGAGTGAGAGTGAGTGAGTGAGTGAGTGAGTGTGAGTGTGAGTGAGTGAGTGAGTGAGTGAGTGAGTGAGTGAGTGAGTGAGTGAGTGAGTGAGTGAGTGAGAGTGAGTGAGTGAGTGAGTGAGAGTGAGTGAGTGAGTGAGTGAGTGAGTGAGTGAGTGAGTGAGTGAGTGAGTGAGTGAGTGAGTGAGAGTGAGTGAGTGAGTGAGTGAGTGAGTCAGTGAGTCAGTCAGTCAGTCAGTGAGTGTGTGAGTCAGTCAGTGAGTGAGCGAGCGAGTCAGTCAGTCAGTGAGTCAGTGAGTGAGTGTGTGAGTCAGTCAGTGAGTGAGTGTGTGAGTCAGTCAGTGAGTGAGTGAGCGAGTCAGTCAGTCAGTGAGTCAGTGAGTGAGTGAATGAGTGAGTCAGCGAGTGAGTCAGTCAGTGATTCAGTGAGTGAGTCAGTCAGTCAGTCGGTGATCGTGAGTCAGTGAGTCAGTGAGTGGAGTATACACGGATACTAGTTACCCCAAAACTGTGCTATTCCTGTAGCAGCAGAAATCTCACAAAATGTCCTTTACTGTCTTATTTGAAAACAAGCAAAAAAACTTCTTCTTTTTCTGCATTTGATTCCCCAGTGAGGCATAGGCCCTCAACTAACTCACGCTAAGTCATTCTTCACTTCTGCATGCACTCTCCCTATATCCTTCCCATCATTTCTATATCCTTCCCATCATTTCTATATCCTTCCCATCATTTCTATATCCTTCCTATCATTTCAACGTCACTCTCTAGCCCCCTTATCCATGTGTTGTTTGTTTTTTTTCGGTCTTCCTTTATTTCTCTGCCCCTGTATGTAACTCATTATTTCTCTGCCCCTGTATGTAACTCATTATTTCTCTGCCCCTGTATGTAACTCATTATTTCTCTGCCCCTGTATGTAACTCATTATTTCTCTGCCCCTGTATGTAACTCATTATTTCTCTGCCCCTGTGTGTAACTCATTAATTGTCTGCCCCTGTGTGTAACTCATTAATTCTCTGCCCCTGTGTGTAACTCATTATTTCTCTGCCCCTGTGTGTAACTCATTATTTCTCTGCCCCTGTATGTAACTCATTAATTCTCTGCCCCTGTATGTAACTCATTATTTCTCTGCCCCTGTATGTAACTCATTATTTCTCTGCCCCTGTATGTAACTCATTATTTCTCTGCCCCTGTATGTAACTCATTATTTCTCTGCCCCTGTATGTAACTCATTATTTCTCAGTCCCTGTATGTAACTCATTATTTCTCTGCCCCTGTATGTAACTCATTATTTCTCTGCCGCTGTATGTAACTCATTATTTCTCTGCCCCTGTATGTAACTCATTAATTCCCCAAAAAGTTGTTTCCTTAATTACCTTGTTTCTTTCAGAGTGAGCAAAGCTGATAAAAACGTGAGAGAGGAGTTAAAGCAATAAATTTGTGGGAGAGAGGGAGTTAAAGTGATAAATTGTGTCAGACAGGGAGTAAAAGTAACGAATGGCGTTAAAGTAATAAAGTGTATGAGAGGGGGAAGGAAGTTAAAGAAACTGTGCCAGAGATGGCGTTAATGTAATAAACTGTGAGACAATGAGTTAAAGTAATAAACTGTGAGAGATGGAGTTAAAGAAATATACTATGTGAGAGAGGGAGTTAAAGTAACAATTGGAGGGGTATGGGTTCGTGAAACAACTGGATGAGGCATGGGTTGAGAAAAAAAGTCTAACAAATATCAAACAAAAGAGGGAACGAATGAAACACAGATGTATGGGGCACTAGCCCTGTGTGTCCCTTACCTTCTAAGACAGGGTTGGACTGAAGCAGCTGCTCTTTCACTCGGTCAATGTCGTGTCCTTTCCCCGAGACCTCTGCGACATATTGCATTATCACCTTACTGGCCTCTGTCAGGTGTTGGGGAAAAAAACATGTAGTTAGTGATAATAATAATAATAATGATAAAATAATTAATAATGCTGATAAAAAAGATAATACTGGTGATAAGGATGATGATGATAAGGATGATTTTGATAATGATGACTATGATAATAACAATGAAAAGTATGATGATAATAATTTTGATGACAAAAAGTATGATGATGTTGATAATGATGATAAAAAGTATGATGATGCTGACAATGATAAATATGATGATGATGAAAATAATGGTGATAAGTATGATGATGATGATCATGATGATGATAAGTATGATGATGTTGATAATGATGATGATAGGTTTGATGATGTTCAAAATGATGTTGATAATGATGATAGCGATAATAAGTATGATGATGTTGAGAATGATGGTTATAACGATGATGCTAAGTATGATGTTGATTATGATGATGATAAGTAATATGATGATTATGATAAAAAGTATGATATTAATAATAAAGATCACAAGCATGATGATGATGATGATTATAATGATAAAGAGGATGATGATGGTGATAATGGTATGATGATGTTGATGATGATGAAAATAATAATGACGGTGAAAAGTATGATGATGTTTATAATAATAAGTACGATGATGTTTAAAATAATAAGTATGATGATGATGATGATAGGTAAGACGATGATACTGATCATGATGATGATGATGATGTATGATGATGTTAATTATGATTTTGATAAGTATGATGATGTTGATTATGATTCTGATAAGTATGATGATGTTGATTATGATGATAATAAAGATGATGATGATGAGTATGATGATGTTGATGAGTATGATGATGTTGATAAGTATGATGATGATGAGTATGATGATGTTGATTATGATGATAATAAGTATAATGATGATGATGACAATGGTGATGACAATGAGTATTAATGATACAATTCAAAGACACATCTCACCTGTCTTCCCTGCACCACTCTCCCCGGAAATAATGATACACTGGTCAAGGTTCTTGTCCCGCATGGACCTATAGGCATCGTCTGTGACCGCGTATCTGCACACGGGCAAACAAGACAAGCAATGTTGAACACTTTCAAAACACTGCACACAATCTGCTGCTTGTACATACACGGTCGCATTGTTAGAACTCTGGGCTCTTAAGCGGGAGACTAGGGTTCGAATCCTGGGGATCTTTTTTGTCGGGGGCAAAATAAAATCCTCACCTGAACAGTCGTGGCGACAGCACTAGCCATGAGGCCTTAAATCCTCCTTGCCTACACCGCAGAAGTGGTAAAATAAAGGCAGTTATTGGGGCAGTACACGGTCGATGGGTGAATTCCCAGCCCCGTGTTAATGGGTGGAAATTAATTACCCAGGAACGTTTATTTTCTTCTATCTTCAGATTTCAGATCCGAAACGCAATTAAGACGAAAGATCCAGCAAGATAATGTATCAAATTGTGTAAGAGAGCCCCGCTGGAACTACATCGACCAGGCACTCAGAATAGATAAGACACGACTTCCCCATCAAACCCTCAAATAGACATCGGAAGGAAAAAGACAACGGGGAAGACCAAGAGAGACCCTGTGTAGAACAATCATCAGGGAAGACTCAACTATGGGCCTAATGAACCTCCAAGACCTAAAACAGATGGCAACGAACCGTCAGACATGGAGAGCTATGACCTCTGCCCTATGCGCCGCCCTGGGCTCAAGGGGAAAGGCTAACTACTCTGTTTTCTTATTTTGTCCTACTTTTGTATGTAAAGTTTCGCAGAGAGAAATTAGATACCATTTTTTCGGTATTTTGCTAAATGCGAAACTTGTGTTAATGTCATATTGCGGTTATATAGTGCCTCTTTTACTCTCTCCATCCATCTCTCTTTCACTCCCTCCATCCATCTCTTTCTTAGTCGACCCATTGCCTTGTAGCCTGCTGTTTGCCACCTTTCAAGTAGGACAAATATGAGGTTGGTGAAATCGGATGTGTCCGGGCGAAAGGCGTATTGCGAACGCCCTTAGTAATTCCGAAGTTAAAAATTAGTTGCAGATCCTTTACATGACGCTGCCCAACCAACCCCAGCCTTTTTTTGGCTGCTGTAGTTTTTTTAGGCAAATTTTACGTTCAGTAGTTTGCCACTGCTTCTCAACGGTCAGCGCTCAGTACCAGTGTCGAAACCAACGCAAAACAAATCGTCTGCAGCTGGGATCGAACCCGGCACCCCGACATTACGAAGCAACGCATAAGCCACAGACGCTGCACAATTCCCGGTGTAGACAATCTGGTAGAAACCGCCTTGTGTTCTTCTTCTTCTTCTTCGATCCTTCTGTCAGAAAACTTATATCAGGAGGCCGGTAGCCTTTATGAAAGCTATCGTGCAATCCATATCCTCTCGTGTACCATGCAGTTTTGTCTTCAGTGTGGTTGGAACAGGCCAGATTGCGTCTCTGTTGTCAGCATACAGTTGACAGTGTTGGAGCACATGCTCAGCATTTTCGGGTGCCACCCTGCAGGGACACGTCTCCGTTATTTCCTTTCGACAACAGTCGTGAGAGTCGAATGTTCAGAAAGCAACTGCAAACTCTAAATCCATCTATCGACTGTCTATCTATGCCCAGTGCTGTTTGCCGTGGCAGGCACAGCTAATGAACAGTTACAGCAATGTTTCTCAACCTTCCTAACGCCGCGACCCTTTATTTAACACAGTTCCTCGTGCTGTTGCCACCTCCAAACATACAATTATTTTCGTTACTACTTCATAACTTCAATGAATATGTGTTTTCTGATGGTCACAGGCGACCCCTGTGAAAGGGTCGCGACCAAACAGGCTGAGAACCGCTGGGTTACAGAGATACTGCACGCTCGTTAGCCTGCTGCAAGGTGATACTGTTGAACTTCAGCAAGTTGACTCCATCTATCTTCTTCTTGGCCAACTACCGAATGTACAATTGCGAAACAGGCAAATAAAAGTGCTGGGGATTGTTTACTAGTTACGCATTGTATTGTAAAAAATACGTACCTAGCTCTCTCTCTCTCTCTCTCTCTCTCTCTCTCTCTCTCTCTCTCTCTCTCTCTCTCTCTCTCTCTCTCTCTCTCTCTCTCTCTCTCTCCCGTTACCTTGGATTCCTATATCTTTCCTTGTGCCGAATTATTATTATTATATATTATTATTATTATTATTATTATTATTATTATTATTATTATTATTATTATTATTATTATTAAGCAACTGCTATTCACAATTATCTTCTTTTTCTTCTTCTTCTTCTTTTCCTCCTCCTGCTGCTGCTGCTGCTGCTGCTGCTGCTGCTGCTGCTGCTGCTGCTGCTGCTACTACTAAACAGTTACTCAGCCTTGGACAAGTGGGTCGGTCCTACAGGCTAGCGGAGGAAAAGAGGTCAATAGTCTAAAAGGAATATAACTGCCACCCGATCATGAACACCAAAGATTTCCATCTGTGCACAGACATGGACGTCCGCCCCATCAAAAACTTACATCCTTGTGGAAGTAATGACTGTGATTAATGGTTCTAGTTATTTAGTAAGTCCGGCAAAGGACAATTTTCCACGCCTTTAGGCTTGTTGGGCACATAGGGCTAGACCGATATTTTATAGACCAATCGGCACTCGGTGGGTGAGGTGGTCAGTATCCCGCCGGCCGCCTTTACTTCACAAGAAATTTGGTACCCACTAAAGGCCGGGTAGACCTGAGGGGCTGGTCACTTTTTTGTTTAAAGCCCGGCTACTTTCGAATTGGAACACGCTGTTTATTGGTGTCTGGTGAAATTAAAGGTTTGGTGCTCAATGGGAGCTGTGTGGTCTCGAGGCATGGTGTCCGCCTCGAGCGCTAGAGGTTCGGGGTTCAATCCCCGGTAAGGGCTGGGATTTTTCACGTGGAGTTCAAGTAATTCCCCGCGGTCTCTGGGTAGTGAGATATGTTGCGCACGTAAAAAAGAAAAATCCTTTAGCAGTTGGAAATCGAAAAGAGTAGCCTAACGGCGGTGCCCGGGCAACACTTGCAGTTAAAAATCTACCTAAAGTATTTCAGGATCCTCTCCGGTGCTACAGAGTCTGTTCACTGTGCTGAGCCTGTTTGGACTCAGACCTGAGCTAGAAGAAGAACGGAGCACTTAGGGGTTACAACCCGTGTGCCATGATGTTGATTCGTTGTTCAAACCTCAAACCTCTGAACGCTCAATGTGATCACTTGCTACGCTTCGTATCTAAGCACTACGATGGGCGTAATCAATTCTTGACTTTTTTTGTGTGGGAGAGTTGTTCCTTCCTCTAAGCAACACACTGATGACAATTAGAACTACTATTTGTGAAAAGCCTCAGATTAGAATGATCGCTGATACACAGGACACGCCCGCTGTTGTTTGTCCGGGCCCGGAGATCTGCAACACGTTTGCCTTCATCGGAACATGGATGGTGTATGCAGTGACGCTGCTGGTGGATCGACACAAAAAACAATGAGACTCCGTACTTGCAGACACTGAATAATAATCACAACGAAACAAACAACTAGCGAAATGTCGGAAGGGGGCGTGGTGGGGGGGGGGGGGGTGTGCAGAAAATTGCTTCCTCTTCTTCTTCGTCTTTTTTTTCTGCAACTGTCTTCTTGTTCTTTTTCTTCTTCTTCAACTTCTTCTTCTTTAACTTCTTCTTCATCTTCTTTTTTTTGTTCTTCTTCTTCTTCTTCTCCTCCTCCTCCTCATTCTTCTTCTTCTTCTTACTCCTCCTCCTCCTCTGTGTTTAACCCAGGACGCAACCGCGTTGTGCCCATGTGTTGCGATATTTACGTCTTTTTAGCGACACATCAGATTTCTTTAAGTAGCTGTTGTCCTGATTGGCCTTCCCTGTGCCACAATTCTCCAGTCAGAAAGAAATTCTTGTTAATTTATTTATATTGTAATTACTATTTCAAATATAGTAGTATATATATTTGATATTTTGCCAATTATACTACTACTGTGGTGATGCTGCTACTGTTATACTACTACTGCTGCTACTACTATTATTAGGCATTTAAACAAGGTATACCCTTTGAGCCCAAACTTAACAATGTCTAAGAGGGTCAAGTTTTCTTTGTGCTACGACAGATACGCAAACAGAAAACCAAGCAGACAGACAGACAACGAAACAGAAAGAATGAGTGAGAAATACACTTTTTTCACTTTTTTGACACATAAAAACAAAAGAACACAGACAATATCTTGTTATATCGATATCTCGGGGTTTTCCAACACACAAGATATCGACCCCCCTTTGGTTAAGTACAAAGTTATGGCGCCACGGCCAACGGAGGACAACACTCGATATAATCAAGAGTGAAAATGTCAACACAGTCAACTGTCTGGGAGAATGCCAACTTTGGGGCGCGTATCAAGAGAAAGAAAGGAAAGGAGACAGAGAGACGCATAGAGAGAGGGAGAGATCGCGACAGAGGAAGAGAGAGGGGAGAGAGAGAGACAGACAGAGCGTGAGACAGCGACAGAGAAAGAGAAGAGAGAGGGGTATAGCTAGAAAGAGGGGAGATAGAGGGAAAGGGAGACAGAGATGGAAAGGAGGGAGAGAGACATAAGGAGATAGAGGAGAAGTAGAGGGAGATAGTGACAGAGAGGGAGAGGGATATAGAGATACAGAGAGACGGAGATAGATGGAGAGGGAAATAAAAAGAGACAGAGCGAGGTGGAGACAGAAACAGAGCGAGAGGGAGATAGAGAGAGAGGGGGAAGATAGAAATAGATAGAGACAGCCACATAAATAGAGGGGAGATAGGGAGGAGACAGAGACAGAGGGAGGGAGAGAGAGAAACTCGCTGACTGGTCTGTCGACTGGATGGTCCGTTTGTTAATCATTCGCAAGAATCCATCTTGGCGCTTACATGCGTTAGAGCAGAACAGTTAACGTCACCGTCACACCAATAAATACAGAGAAGCGCTAATTCCAGAGAAATACTAACAAACCTAACCAATAATAGCAATCATTACTTTCACGAAAACACCAACGAACACAACGAATACTTCGACAAAATAACACAACCAACAGCCAT